ATGTGCAGGGCAGGGGCAAGCTAAAAATCAAATGGTTGCATTCATACTGATTCCAACAGTAAATTTCGCCCACGGTATATAACGGGAACGTTCTAAGGTGCCTTGGATCCCATGACCTTTAAATTCGATTCAAAATTTACCTTTCCGGTCCCGTGCACACGTCCCGCTATGACGCCACGATTGTCCGACATTTCCGGTGAAGGGGGTTCACAATACGAAGCACTGAATATCATTCGCCGGAGATCTAACCTGAAAACGTATTCCCTTTTGGCAACACAAAATAATAGAAGATTCTGTCTCTCTTTCTTCCGAAAGCCGAAATTTCAAATGAAATGTTTGTGTGCACCGGTTGAAAAGGACTCCAGGCTTTAGAAACAGATATTGATAGCCCAAATGTCAAAACTTTCCCATAAGAAGATCGTGTGACGAGCCCCATACCACGTTCTCCATGTTAATCGCCCGTGACTCTTGTTTTAGCTGCGTTAATAGCTACTACTGACACCCTTTTGACCCGGTACTGCTGATGCCTACGGGCTCCGAGCAGGACCAAAATTGGGGGCAATTCTCCTAGCAACGGAGGCTCCTTTGGCATAGTAACTGCGCATTAATTGCTGCTTCACGAACGACTATGAAGCGCAGGAGTTGCAGTCGCATCACTACCAACAAAATTAGCACTCTTGACCAACACAGTTTTTTTTCAACCGATGGGGGGGGGCTCCTGCTAAGGCAGATACAGAAAACAGAAGGTACCCGGTCGTAGGCTGCAACCCAGTATTAGGAGATTGTTCCAAGGAACGTTTTCGCGTTCTCTGTGAGACTGTGCAGACCTTCTTTGAAAGCACTGCAAAAACTATTTGGAAATTTAAACAGTTCAATGTTGAGGGCTAGACACGAAAGCTCGTTACGGACCCATGTGGGGTGCGGTGAGCATGCATAGACCCGATTAGGCCGGCGCTTGACGTAATGCGAAACTTGCTTTGGCGCAACGTGAACCGAAAGCCACAGCATGCTGGAAATATTGTCACGTGACCAGAGAGCCACAGACGGCGAATATAAACTAAAAGAAATAGTTGCTTGATTTAGGAGAAAGACGACTTAGTTCCCACATGAGAGAACTGTTGTCCCAAACAACCCATGCAGAGACGCCCGCAGTCTGGGACCCAATGGTACGAAAGTCTCTACCCATCGTATGATGTTGCTGACTCAGGCCTTGCTGAACGATCCTTAAACTGCCACACCCACCCTTACACCATCTATGTGAATTTGCGAAAACTCACAGCCAACTTTTTGATGGTACTTTATGCACGGTAATTTCAACATCGGTGGAATAATTTTAGGCTAGTTCCCCCGAATCATATCTCCAACGAAAAAAAAAAATTCACGTTACATATTCCATCGGAGTAGGAGGTGCGAAGTGTCAGTTATGAATGAATCCTTCATTTTAAAACTATTTATATGACTCCGCAAAGAGACGTGTTTGTTCAAGTCTGGACAATGATGCGGTATTTTAGCAGTTTTTTTTCGAAGAACGCCTTTCTTCACATTTAAAAGGTGTTAAGGACTCCATCCATAATGGTTAATTTGGGGCAGACCTTCGAATGAACAAGAAGCGCTCATGCAGACAGCGCTGACGCCGTTTTCTATACAGGGCTGGGAGTCATTGCCCCCCCCCCCCAAAAAAAAAACCCACCACTTCTGCTGTGCAGTCGGCGAATTGTTGTCGTACATGATACAAGGATAACCAGCCTATGGCTATTGCGGTGAACCAGACATTCACAGTCAGAGACGTCCTTCACCTTCCAAACTGAGAATCCGCTGATGTGGCCGACATTGTTGAAAATGTAATGTATTTTTCGAAGTTACATAAACATGGAAGTTGCCATGGCTGTTCAGCTCCAAACGGCACATTGACATGTCTCTCAAGGAAATTAAGGGAAGTTTTTGACGAGTTGTAATTTGTTTAAATATCTCTGTGTAATTAAGATGAAATAGATTCGCACTTACTTACCTTAATCCGCAGACTTAATGCACCGTGCAATATGACAAACTTCGTATGTCTGTCTCAGAGCGGTTAACTTTCAGTTTTATTTTTTTTAAACTACAAAAACACCACGCTACAAAAATCCATTCCGTCTTTATACCAGTTTTCAAAAAAAAAATTGTTTGGCACTGTTCCCACGACCTTTACTTTACAATAGCTTTCTTTTGACGCGTCCTCCGATACTGATATTAGAATCGAAGCTTGTTCGTATGGACTCTGTATGGACCTGTCTAAATCGTTTACAGGAAGAATCGACACAGTGAGTTCAGTATTTGGCAAAACAAGATGGGTGTCGATGTCGAGAATCGAAGCACTGCCGTCATCACTGTGTCGCAGCTGGCTTCAGAACGGATCGTAAGGGGGGGTGCTTTTTCTGTATGGCACAGACCATATATAAAACACACTGCATCGCGACAGGTGTGTTGCCCGATATGATGATGGACACTCAAGTACAGTAAACCAGGTAGCGGCGAGAAAGGTCGCCGTTGCGAGCTCCACGATCCATGGAATGCGCCAAAAGTGGAGGCGTGTAGGTCGTCACCAATACAGGTGTGCGTTTTTTCGTCCCGTAGGCCTACGCCTGAAATATCCTGAAGCAGTGGCCATCTTGGATAATTTTTTTTTACAACATCAAGTGGCGCTTGGGTGCCAAAAAGGTGAAGCGTGTTTTAACGCCAAAACCACACCTCCTTGGTTTGCACGGAATTAATCAAGTAATCGTAATAAATCATACTTCTGTTTGTTATCCTCGGGATCCACAAATGCTTAATTCTGAACGAACCAAGGGCTAACTGGTACCCTAGTAAGACCTCAAACTGGTCCAATCTAGTCTCGTTATTAAACAAAATGTTGAATAATGTCTGTATTTCTTAGTGGAGAACCACGATAACATACACGCAGACCTCTGTTGTCTGTTAAAATAACTCACTGCCTGAAGGAACAACCTGCTATAGTACACAACGAAACTAGTTCGGATATGCTATTTTGGGGCATTTCTGAGTCCTCGCAAATCTGACGAAAAACTACAGTATGCTAATAAATCAAGACAGGAAATTATAATGCCATTTGATTGGTGCATAGGCTGAGTGTCCAAGTATTATTGGCTCTGGAAGTGGAAAGAATCCACAGTAATGCATAGGGGTGGCATAGACCTCGAGGTCAGGCACCCCCCCACCACAACCACCACCACTACCGCCAACACCGCCCACCGTTTTCAAGACCTGGGTTCCCATTTGTCAAGCGACACCACAATATAACACCTGTTGATATGAACCGTCAATTTGACTAGGCTTGTCTCTATATGTCCTTTGTTATTACTTGCAATTTACACGGCACTTAAAGGCTTTGGGGAGCCAATAGCATTAGGTTTGATAATTAACAAGGGGATGGCAATTTTGAGAAAACGAGAAAAAAAAACGGCCAAATCCATCCCGAGTTGTGTGGCCTTTTAAACTAAATAAATGCGGGTTCAAAGAGAGAAAGAAATTTGATGAATGACCGTGACAGCACCAGAAAGTTCTTCCCGTTACACTTGAATGCGGGCGGCATGGTGCAGCGGTTTCACTCTCATGGAAAACGGACACGCTGTCGGTCCTTGCTCCCTGCCTCTGACAAAACACCAATCTCGACCGCCCTCCTTTGTTTCTCCCCTACACCGTTTGGGAGCAATTCAGCTTTTGCGATGGTGGTATACAGCCCCAGGGTCCAAGCGGACTTTGCTTTGGAAATGGATAAACGAACACTAAATCTTCGCGTTTGCTTTTGTCCGCCCGACCAGGGGACCTGCCTGTACGCCGGACGCGATCCGCTGCCGTCAGCTTCGCCTAATCCAGCACTTTCGTGTCATTACTAAAATTGTTATTTTTCTGTCGGCGCGCTAACGGGGGACGGGACGAAAGAAGACAGAAAGCCTTGCGGAATAATACCGGAGGTTCCTAGGGCCAGAGTGCAAGCGCCTTTTTAAAGGGTTCCCGACTACCCTGTCATTTTCCTATTTAGGATGTAACTAATGTGGGGATCGGGTGGTGGGAGGGGACTTATCAGCACCCGGAGACTGAAGGGGCCTTTTCAATCGGCCGGGCCAACGGGTTTGCACTGGTGGTCCCGACAAGACGACTGTCGACATATTGATTCATTGCTGCTTGCTTTGGCTTAATCAATATTTGCTTTGCGGCATATCCCAAAAGTCGTTATTATTGTGACATTTAGTTGATCCACAGCAGTGACTTGGGATTCTGATCGCTGGCTGCCTTAACCGACATTTATGACAGCCACTGCTAGGAAGGGTTTCGTCCAACACATTTAGGTATGATGGAAATCAGCACAGTCTACAACGCGACAATTAAACGCGTACCAAACTTTTTTCTCTCTTGATAATATTCCCCAAGGGCAGATCTAGAGGGCCAAGAAGGGCCATGACACCCCCCCCCCAAAAAAGACCCGAACACTCTTTTTGAAAATATAATCAGAGAAAGGCGAACATTTTGGTCTACTTCGTTTCTCTTTTTCTTTAATAAAAAAGTGCAAAAAAAACCACCAAAGTAGCCTCACCTCTCGAAATGGCAATCTAAGAATATATGGAAAGGAAGTTCAAGCTTTTGTCCCCGCAAAACACCCCACCCCCGGGAGTCTTGATCTGCCCTTGTATTCCACGTGTTAGCGTCAGGGGATGTTGCCATTCAAGTCCAGAAAAAAAAGGGCATTCCAGTTTCATTTCTAGTTAAAGTGGACCGTGGACGTTTTATGTATGAATGATTAAGGAGCGGTGTAATTCCTAAGCGCACCCACTGGGGCTTCTTTAGATAGACGAAAACCCCCAAAAGAATACCCTTCCACAACTTCATTTCTTTGTAAGGACATGAGGTTACTCTATTTCGACAAAAACAAGACTTGCAGCTGGAACCCAGGATTGATTCGGAAATGTGAGAATGTTTGGACACGCGATGATCAAGGAACTTACCGTTTGGCGCTATGACCCAATTGCTCCAGCCGATGACTTTAAAATCGACGTAGTAATCGTACAGTTTACACTTGTCTCGTCCTCTGTTTCCTGTCCGAGAGGAGGCTCTCCTCTTCTGTCGGTCCGAGCGCTCTGTGTCTGGCTCTGGGTCGGCTGCCTCATCACTCCCGATACTCCGGGATAGCTGTCTATTCCTCCCTGATTCCTGAGATGACGAGGCCTCTGCCCCTGGTAGCGTAATGTCGCTGACTAAAACGTTTTTATCGTCTAGGAACAGGACCAGCAGCGGGCGGCGGTCTTTGTGCTTGGGGCGGGGCCGCTTGGAGAACACCACGGCCCCCTTGGGGAGCTCCGCCTCGCTCTTTATTCTCATCTCGAAGAGTTTGTCTGTGGAGATATTCAGGTGACCACGGCCATCGAAGGCACCGGTGACGTTGAAGTGGACCCAGCCCCGGTGGGTGAAATTCAAGGCCTTGCGGTCCATCAGGGTCCGGGACACGGTGGGCGGGCCTCCCAGGATGGGGTCGATCCTCCGGCGGAGTTCGTAGAGCTCGCAGGTGACCTGGCTCGGCAACATGTCGTCCGTCCAACCGTCAAGGGGTCGGGGCTTCTGTTTGTAGAGCTGGAGCTCTGCAGCTAAGACCGTCTCTCGGGCCAGCACGCTGCTCGTATCGAACAGGTATCTGCGACGAGACGACTTTGTGTCTGCGTGGAGAAGAGACGAGTTCAAGTGGGTAAACAGTTGGCGCCAAAATGATAGTCGGGTGCCAAAGTGAAAGCGAGACAGTCCCATGAGTAAATAGTATTCCATAAAACAGAGAGAAATGAGATCTTGAGCGGTTTCAGAAACAAATCCTGATATTTTCATTCGGTCAATGCTCTCTGCTCTCGTGATGTTGATAGTGCGTGAAGACAAAGTGTCTTTTGCAGCCCTGACAATTTTTTTGGGACACAGAACAACCCATTTCGGCACTGTGCTCGTGCCATGTGACTGGTTTTTAGTATCGCAAGAGCAACAGCCACTTAACTTCGCTGGTATCCATGTGATAATGTATTCCCCAGACATCGGTGAGGGCTGGCGCTCTACAGTCATCTTATCTTACACGTGGCTGCGGTTAAGCCAGTTGTGCCCGGTCTCCAGGTGGATGGTCTCTGGCCACGTGTTTTGCATATCTCGCAAGTTATTGCCATGATTACGCTCGGATTGCGCGGGAAAACAAACATTGGAGGGAAAGCGGCCGCATTGGGCAGGCGGACTGACATTCTGACAACCGCTGACCGGTTAATGCTCGGTTAGGTTCTGCTTCTAGCAGTTACCTTAGTAAGCAAGTAAATGGCATGGCACCTCAATGGAAATAAACCATTTTTCTCATACGCTTTTTTGGCACATCAGATCTGTTAATCAGCGACCAAAAGTGAGATCCATCTTTTCCAGGCGAATTTCAAAGAGAACTTGAAATGGCAACCACGTCATCACTCTACGGACCCCATCCCCACAAGTCATCGCGAACCACGTTACTTGACTCATTCGGTAATTCCAGAAGGGAATTCCACACACGTTGTTGTCAGCGGACAACACCCCGCTATCGCATGTCTTGCAAATTCACACTTAAACTGCTCCGAGAACAAAATTTCTTTTCCTTTATCCTGAGACGCACTAGCACACATATGCAGCAAGGTATGAGACGGAGAGAACCCCCCCTGCTTTGTGTTGGTCATTGTCTCGCTGGAATCTGGGGAATTCCTTTCAGACATCTTGGGGGGATGTGTTTAGTAACAATAGTCTGGAATGTGTGTAGGGATTGGACATGTAAGGGGGGCACCCCTCGGTCTCATTTCTCGCCAAAAATGGGTTACTGATGCCGTGTTGGCACGATCTTGTAAAACACATGAAGCGCAGCGGGCACAAAACCACACAAATGAATTCAAATCCGGCAGCGGTCATTCACTTAGTAAAAACAATCAAAACGGTACAAAAATTTCAAGCCGGGTAGCCCTTATCGTTTGTACACGATTCTTGAACTGGGGTGATTTTTCTTTGGCAAAAAGAAAACAGCGATAGGAATACTTGAAATTCCTCTGGCCTTTCTGCTGCCGGAAGAGCTAAAGAAAAAAATATATGGACGCGCTGGCTTGTCTCTTTGTGCACATCAAGGCACTGCATATTGTAATTTTGCAAAGGCGAGGCGTATTTTAGCTAAATAATTTATTGGGGTTGTCGGTTGTGGGTGGTAAATAACGCTGGCGACCTTCCATTGATTGTGATGACAAGGTCAGCAGGGTTTAAGCTGACAATATGCCCCTGAAAAAAATCTTCTGATGCATTATTTTTCTTTCTTCTGTTACCAACAAAATGACAGATTTAGATAGAGGCCGGCCTCTAGAGGACCACGCGGTTCGTCTTTAGTGCCAAAACAGATAGACGAGAAGAATGGAGGACAAAAAAACCCGTCCCCAACCGAGAACAATCCCTGGACGCGGTGAAATGTCCTTGAAGGATGCAAGGATTTTGCTGTACTGTGCGGTGTTTGTCGTCAATAAAAAACATCATGCGCGCGCCTGTGCAGGGCGCTTTCAAACAGTCTCAGCACGGTGGTAAACGAGACGTGCGATCAGTAGCGATCAAATTAATAAAAACGCCCACTTCAATCGCAATTTCAGTACATGTGGCCGTGCATGTACAAGCTATCATTCAACCGGTCCTATCAAAAAGGTTACGGTACGATCAGAACGGCGGCCGATGTAAGGCACCAGACTCAAGCAATAACCTGTGACGTCACGCTGCCTAAGTATTCTCGTGCAAGCCATCCATAACCATGGAAGGCGCCGCTGGTGGTCATTTTTACCACGTCTCCTGACGTCAAATCTAGATTCCTCGTGCACTACGAAATTTATCCGTAAGCTCTTTGGAGTCATCAACACCCTAATTAATTTAGGCTCCAATGAAACAAAACAAAAAAGTGGAAGAGAGGAAGCGCTGACGTGACATACATAACCAAAAAAGATGCTTCGCTAACAACTTGCAGTCGGGTTGCTAAATATACCTTTCACTTTATGGCAATTTTATGGCCATGTAAAATTAGACCGCTCCTTTGGCATATATACTCAAACAAGGCGACAAGTGTTTCATATCTAGATGTGTCCGTTCAAGATCTAGCTCGTCTCTATCCCCGTAACACAAAATCCATGTTTAAAGAAAACAACCTGGGAAGAACCAGAACTTAAAATGGCGCTGCGAAGGCAAGCCCCCCCCCCGCCCGACACAATTCCATTCATAAACACACTTGCCCCATTTCCCCAACCCGTGGTCGGTTGCTGAGCGAAGGCGAGAGACAGCACCGGGGGCCAGAAGGCCAAACCCCTCCTTGTGAGGCTCGCCCCGCTCCGCTCGATGACAGAGGGCCGCGGAGTCGGTGTGTTGCCTTCGGGTTCGAACTGGGTAAGTGAACTTTGTCGCTAACAATAACAGGCACGTTTTTTTTTTGTGGGTCTACACTCAATACACTCGATTCAGGAATGATTTCGGGATAGTCTGTAACCACCCCGCAGCCTTCACGACATAAAGTTTGTTTTAAATAGGCAACTGGTGGTAAGCTCAGACTCGGTATTTTATTGTGCATTTTATGAGTTTCTAGGAAGATTTGTAAATATTTTGCCAGTGGAATCGAATGACTTATGAACCATTTTGACAGGCAAGGTAAGTATGCAAACTTTTCTTCCGTACAAGCAAACGTATTAAGTGGCGCATTTGTAAAAACATGTTTAAGGCAAAGCTGGTCTTCGCCGATTTGTTTTGAGACCTTCAAGTCATCGATGGTGCTGTCAATCAATGACTCGTTACACTCGACACCATGGGAGGGCAAAGTTGACGCAACAACAGCCAGGCAGACAACGAGAACTCCAGAGTAATGTGCATCGTGCATGAACCCGCAATAATGCAATCCAAAAGCAGAGATAGCATTTCAGCATTTTCTAGCTCGACAGCTTTTAAAAGTCTCCCGGAAAGCGAACGGTATCCTTGCGGACCTTGAAAGGGGTGAGGATTTCCGACCGTTTACGGACAATGGAGCCGATTCGCGACACAAGTGCCTCCAATCTCGGACGCCGGATTAGGACAAATCAGCAAATTCCCTCATCGCAGCGGGACGCTGCCTCCGTCAGATTAAAGATATAGTTGAGGCAACGAATGGAAAAGATGAATGAGGAACAGTTGTATCCCCATTTGTAAATCCGTCTTGGGTCATACATCTGTTGCCTTGTTCTTCAGTATTTATCTCCCGTCTGGTTTAGATCCACCCAGTAGACCCCTTGGAACATGCTTGGAGTAAGCGCGCAACAGTGCACATCCTTAATCGCTGTGTATGCACACATTGCATGCTCGTTTTCTGTGTGAATGACTGATCACATTGCAAATACTTGTCAAGTAAACGTGCAGTTGGTCCGTTCCGCAGTAGTGTGTGTGAGTGCGCTTTTGCATACACGAAGCAATTTCACTCAGAAGCACAGCTTCTCTCTCTGTATTGTGTCATCGGTACCGCTACTTGCTTTTGAAAATGAGTGTCGAAATCGATAAATTTCAGAGGTGAAGCCAACACCGGAAGACCTGTACAAAAATGGGCAAACACGTTCCTAATTATGATTGAAAGGGCCACTGAAACTGGTTTGATCTTTGAACTCCTTTTTTTTTTTGGCTATCGTAGGTGGATAGCACAAACCTCAATTGGTGACCGCGCTGCAGATGTCACTGGAAAGGGCACAATGCCCTAGGGCTAGTTTGAAATTGAACAATCTAGCTTTGGTCAGTTGGTTGTTTAGTTGGCAATACCCTTATCTGCTTTGCCAAAACTCAGGTATCGAGAAGTACAAAGAATCTAAGTATCACGTGTTTTGTTGTTACTATCACGGAATCATATCTGCACCTTTATTAAATATACAATAATATGAATATGTTGTACCCATGGGCTTGTGCATGCGTGTCTTTTGGAAGACGCTGGGCCCAAGGGCAGATCCGGGGAAAGCAACGGGAGACACGCCCCCCCCGCTCCACAAAAAGGGCCGAAAAATTAATTTCAAAGATATTTAGAGAGGGGCAAGATTTTCGGTGTATTTCATTTCCGGTGAGTAAAAAGCCAGAAAATGTAGCCTGACCCCTTAGAAAGGCCACAAAATTACAACCCCCAAAAAATCACATTTTGGATCGCTAAAACAGGTTGGCGCCCACCCCCCCCCCAAAAAAACCCCCGCCCTTACATGTGCCCCAAAACAGTTGAGCTGGGCTCATTGCATTAGTTGAAGATTTTGAAACCGCATAGCACTGAAAACAAACTCATTACAGCAACGAAGGGACACGCGCTAAATTGGTTTCCGCAAAACATTAGTATAAGGTCGGGCCGGAGCGTCCTGAGTTTGCTTTGGCGAAGGACTTGGATTTGAGGAAGTTTCTGACAGTTCGGTTTCATGGTTGTATATCAACGAGATTTGATAGAACAGCGAACAAGACCGCCAGCTTTAGAGAGAGAACAAGTGTCGTCCGTGCACACTATGCACCCAGTCGCGGTGATATATTTACGCAATTTCATTGTAAGGTTTTGTAATACACCCGGTGACTTGCTGTGTATTTATTGTGAATATCACTTCTGTCCTTGGCAATTTGACATGAGCCCAGCTTTCTATACCGCGGAAAAGTCACTAACCCACGTGCACATCGAAGTCACAGGCTTTTTAGGTAATTTCAAGTTCATTGTCATGGTTTATTCTTCCCGTGTGCTGGGCAATCACTCACGCGCCGTTCCCTAGATTTTTCGGCTAATTTTACCAACCCCCTAAAAAATATTGTTCCTGTCTTCGGTGAATCGACAAAACAGAGTGAATACTTTGTGAGCCTACAATGTCAGCTAGAAGCCAATATGAAATGCGCCGGGAGTAAAGAAAGGTTTCCCCAGTCTATAGAGATCACCTTTTGTTCCCCTACGATCTCTGAGGTCGACCGTTTCGTAAAGCAGGCATTTGCCGTGGGTCTAGCCGGGACCCTCGGTCTAGAACTCGGAAGCATATTTGCTCGAGCGCCGAGGATTTTTTTTTTAACCTCTGGTGTATTTATTTTGAGTCTTTTTCATTTTTTCCTCACAGATGGTCTCATTCCTTGGGCTAAACAAATTCCGTCCGACACTGCTTTATATTGTATTGAGCATGCCTCCAATGTCACTGCCTCGTTGCTGTGATGCGGGCGAGCGGTTCGCCGTCACGTGCGCCGTCTGTGTGGTTTTCGCGCCAATGTTTAAACATTGACATTTGCCAAATTGAGTTAGGGTCACGTCTGCCATGAATACAGGCTCCAAGTTGACTTGCAAAAAAAATCCATAGCATGGAAAACCGCTCATGTATTTCCTGAAAAACGACTTCACTGCATAATATAAATCTCAGAGGAGTTTAGGTCTATCTCTTCGAATAAAACCTGATGCAGTAACAGCGGATCCTTCCCCTACAATTTTTTTTCCATGTAGATGACTTTCTGACCAATATAGAGGGTGACCCAAAACGCAGCTCACCAGTAAAACTTATTTTCTCTCAAAATAATTGTCAAAAGTTTGTTGTTTTGGTATAAAAGCGAATGTTGATATGTGATACTCTCTGGCATGGTATATTATAGGCATTATTTTTAGTTAATACGGCCCAAATGTCCGAGCATTGCGACTTTTGTGATATGCTGGAGACTGCATAGGCAGCGGGGTGTCCAGCCTCTGGTGTCGGGGGGGGGGCGGGCAAATTCAAAAGCGAATGCGGCTTTGGCTCATTCAATATGATGTTGGGAGAGAACAAATATCAAAAGCCTTACTCGCATTCCTGACATTCTTGCTTTTATTTCACGGTGTTGTTTTCTCAATGTCTGGGGGCTAATATTTGATGAATAAATTAATATAGCGATTACTTTCCTGGAGCATTTTTTTGTAAAACCAAAATCCGTCTGGGGGGCAAGTTGACCTCCTCGCTTTCGCCGCTTAATACACCACTGTGTATAGGTCTATTAGAACACCAAATATGAAGCCCAGTCTTTTCTTTTCCTCGTATGGGTTATTCAATTTGACTTCTCTACTGGTATAATTACTTTTCTTCATGCATCGGCGTTCAGAATTCACGCACTGAAGCCTGGGAGATCATATTATTATGCTGCTATTATACATTATGACAAATAAGAGGATTTTGTTTGCTTGCACTTGGCACACATGATCAGTCACTTTCAAACTATGGAAATTGGGTGGAAACACGCTGTCCGATTCAGGCTACATACGTACCCCTTGAAACTTAACTTTATGTAAATCAGTAGGACTATCACAATAGTCAAGTAACTCAACCCGGGTATACAACTTTCTCGAATTTCCAAGTTTTGGTCCGACCATAATCAGACTTTCCTATAGGTTAAGTAGACTTTTATCCCCGTACCCGACCGGTAGTTTCTTGGTAAAGGCAACAGCCAAAGTTATTGGGAAATAGGAGACCATACATGCGCTGTTTGTCTCAGTAATGTGGTCAATTGGACAGCATCTGCTCGGTGTAATCTAATCAATCCGCAATTCAGTTCACACCTGCTCCAGCGTTGCAAAATGGCCAAGATGGCCTCACCCATGTCACGTGATTAAGCCCTCTAAGTCTTGGCCCCCGTGCCATCAGAGGTCAGGGTTACGGGTGAGATTGACGTCACATCATAGAATATCCCGATTTGGTCCAATCTGTCCAATTCGACGAATTCTGTTTTATTCAATACTATAGTTATCACAATTTTTTAAACTCGAATTCGACTGAAAAAAATCCGAGTAGTTTATAAAGGTTTCATTTATCACAAAATACGTATACTAAAGAAACTCAATTTCAAAAGTTACTCTCAAACGAATTGAGTTTTTCATTTTCCTGTTCTGTCGCTTCGTCAGTGTTGTTTAATTCCTCCGGAATGTGTAAGACCATTGTGTCCGCATCCTCGAGTGACAATGATAGCGTAATTACTCAATCTTTGTGAGTATTTTGACTGGGTTGTATCCAAACAGTTATAGGCTCCAAACTTTGTTTGGTCGAGCGGCCCTTGCGGAGCAGCCCTATTGAACATTAGAAAGGACTTCGGCGGTGCTCGGCTTACTTCATCTAGTAAACTTTACTCAACGACACAAGGGAATAACAGCGCAAAACAAACATCAGTGAATGGGCTACTTTCCCTTAAGGAGCTCTCGCGCAGTTAGCGTGTGTGCACGGGGATTGAATGCAGAGGAACTGCCCGAAGCCTCTCAGATCTTTGGGGGAACGAGGGTAAAATAGAGCGGATCACCGCTAAGAAAAGACCCCAGATTGGAACCGATTGTCAGCTCGGAGAATCGCAGACGATTTGGTCCGGATAATGGGCCATTGCACAATAATTGGACAGGGATCAGCGAGAGAATGAGATGGCGGCAAAACGAAAGCCAATTGCCTCCCCTACCTTTCAAATGCGCTGGTATCAGTATGACTGATGATTGTTTCCTCCTATTGTATATTTATGTCTAAGTCGCAAGTTCATATTTTCGTCTATGACACCGGAAAACCTGCGATTGAAACTTTGTTTATTTGACTCTCCACGCGTCGTCCGAACATCTCTGTCATCAAAACCGATTTGCTGTGCTCATGGTGCTATGTTGTTTGTGTTGGCCGGTATCAAACACGAGCTACTTTGAAACGATTAGAGCGTGAGTCTTACAAAAAAAAGGGGGGGTGGTGGGGTAGCGTAAGCTCACCTTTTTCATTGAAGGATCTGACGGTGTTTGCTCTGGGAGCATTTGATGTCTGATGAGTAGAACCTATTGTAGATTCCAACTGGTGGTAAAGATTGACCATGAATGCCGGTGGAGTCGTCACTGCCGTGTGGTTGGGCCTCGGCACGGTCTTCAGCCCGAAGGCATCCAACAGCCGGACCATCTCCGCTTGTCCTTGCTCGGGGTACCCTTCCTCGGTAACTCCCTTGCCCGGTCTCCTTACTTTCGGGGTGCGGTGTCTTCTCCCCTTCCCGTTGGCGAGCTCCGTGTCTATCGGGGCGCTCCTCCTTTCCAGCTGCGTCGATGCGGTGACGATGAAGCCCACCGTGCAGAGTAGGAGGAGGACGCAGGAGGCCCGGTACACCGTCCCAGGCACAGTCAGACCTGCCGGTCTCATGACGCGTCTGACGGGGCCACCTGTCCGAATTAACGCGCTCAACGAACCGACTGACTCACAGGTTTGTTTGAAAACACGGGGCTAGGGGTCACGTTCTCCTGGTCGCCTGAACAGTTGGGTAAACGGTGTGCGACCCGAGGTTCGATCGCCGGGCCCTGCTGGCGACGACGATGAAAGGCAAACTGTGCAGAGGTAAGGCTACCGCGTCGTGGCGAAAAACGAAAACATGTTTCTGGTGCTTCAAATTCATCTCTTTATGCTACTCCATCCGCGGGGCATGATGCGGCGAAAACGGGGCTCCAGCAGTCGGCGGTGCGGATCACGGGCGCTGCGTCAAAGTCATCGTGTCGGACTGCCAGGCGGCATGCTCGTCACACCGGTTGGAGTTGACTGGGTGGGAAAACTCACAGCCCCAGATGGGTAGTGTCGCTTGGTGTCAGCTCTGCCAATTGGTGGAATGTGGGAGCGCACTGCGGCTTGGATATCGACATGGCGATGAATATAATCATTAATCATGCTGGGAGTCAAAGCGTGTCAATGCTGTCTCTCTCGTGCACTGTGCGCACTCACTCCCGCACACACACTGGTTATACACTGCCTATCAGGGCATGGGTGGTTGGCTGAGCGTGGAGACTTTATCTGTACTGCCTGGGCACTCGGTGACTGAAAAGAATTACAGCTCCGCCAACACAGGACACACTGAGTCGGCCCAGGTTGATGTGCGCACAAAAAAACCTTCAAAAGTGCCGCGAGCAAATTTCATCGCATGCCTGACGCCCCACCTGCTCTCGGCCGTGTAGTGTGCTATGCGTGAGAGGATAGACAGTGCGCTCTATACACAAAAAACCCGCTCCTCCGGGCGATATCATCTTCCGTTCATCCCGCCGTCTTATCGCCAACTTACGGACATGTGGGTTTTGTGGATTTTCAAAAGAACCTGCCCGACTCCCCACAATGGTTTGACTTGATTTCTGTCCCAAATTGATGCCGTTTTTCCCAACCCCTGTGTCCTGCCTCTATGGTTTGAATGACGCAAACAGGAGGGAAGAATGACTTATCCCCTGTAAGTTGAGACGAGTCCTTATTATCATCGGCAAGAGTTGCCCGCTGTGGCGACAACTCTCCTACAATGAGACATCAATGGCCCGTCAATAGCTGCTATATCACCACAATCCCCAGATAAAGAACGCCGCCAATCACGAAAACTTGTTCGACAAATCGCCGCCTGGGAGGCGATTCAATCTTCAAGAGCCAGTAGATTGACTTGGACTCCCAAAGATCGGCGGATGTCCCTTCTTGCACTGAATGGCAGCCCCACAATGTGCCTATTTAGGCCGCCAGTCCTTTCCCGGCTCCAAAGATGAGGGGGGCACGCGTTGCCAAAGGTCAGACGATGAATAGATGGGCGGGGAACCGTAAAAGTCGTCCCTCTCCCAATTTAAAAATCATCTTGCTGCGATGGTGATATAAGAAATTGTCTGCGTCTCGTCCAACTCGCACTAACTTCCTTTCTTCGTGAGGAGTTTTATTATCAAACTTGTCAGGAAAACTCGGACTACAGGCCATTAGTGGGTGTACTTAGTCCATTAAAAGAGAAAGGAAAACGTGATTCATTGATACTGTCCAGCCAACCATTTCTAATGATCAGATCTTGAATAGGACGATAATCGCCAGCCGTATTTTGGGTGGTTGGTGGCCGGGGCTGGCGACACGATGTCACCGGTGAAGATCACTCGCCGACTGCCTCTAAAAACCCTCATGGAGAGGGGAAAAGACCAACGCTTGTCCTCTTGGCCACAACAAAAGATGCACTAATCCTCGCGTTAATCCTAAACAATAGGGAGATTGACATTTAACTACAGATTTTGTCAATGTGGAGTTCCCCTCGTAAATAAATCCATTTATAAAACACTTTGTACCTACACTTGTAGCATTAACTGCGCTTAGACCGCCAGCTGGGATTAACCATGTCGAATTCGGTCTTCATTGCTCAAAATCCGGAATCACCAACGAAACACAGAACAAAACGCACACTTCAGGTTTAAATCTAATCGGCTCGTGCTGGACTTGATGGACGACGCCGCGTAAACATCTCGATCGCTTCCCTGTCGATACAATTTATAAGTTGCATTATTCTCTATGTCATGAAAGTTACACTTTTCTGTATCATCTATTTCGCCCTCCTCCAGTTGTTTGTGTCATGACTTTTTCATTCCTCCACATGGTTTGGGAAGCAAGCTTCCCTAGTTGGAGCTTTCGATCGTGGGATTAATTAAGCTGTTGTAATTATTAGTCCCTGAGAACTTCTGGGAAGATGTCATGGCATTTTCCCCGACCACTCTGTCTTCAGTATTCACCTTGATTTCTGTTAAATGCAAGATTTTTTTATTTCATACTTTCCGTTTAAAATTGTCTTCTCCTCTTCACCAATACTCCCCCTTTTTCTCCCTCCTAAATTCCTTTCCGGTTCAATGTTCGTTGGTAAAGAGACTAACAAACGAGTTGTAACAAAAAAGTAACCCAGGTTATTGCAGATTTCGTCAGTGGATCATCCATGGCAAGTGAAAGCTTGCTACAGTTAATGAAATAAAACTTTATCGCCTATACCCTGGATTTTTTCCTTTTCAACTCTCGATTTTTTTTCGAATGCCCGTCTCCAAAATAGTGCATGTACTAGTTTTTATATTCGCTCGACAATAACAGCGTAAATATCTTGCATTTTATTTGCTTAGGTAGAGGATTAGGGCGGATTACTGAGTTTGTGGAGGAGCCAAATTTATGTTTATCCTTTCTGTCGCGAGTCCACGGGTGTTGATGATCTGGTGGAGTTTATGGTGAAAAGAAGAGATCAAGTTTTACAATTTCCTTTACAAAGATGACTGAAATAACCCGTAGTGCTTCATGGGATACAGAACGGATCGAAAAAGCCCTCTCACAAACGTGTAATTTTCGCACTTTCCGGGTCAACAAATACTGAATAATTTTTTTAATACTGCTGGAGGCACGAAAAAGCAGGCAACCATCTAAAACCTTGCTGTGTTCTTTTCATTCGAATAAGTTTTAAAAAGTAGGAGATATTTTTCGGGTTACTCTTTACTGCCACTTTAAGCGTCTACTTTACTTACAAGCCCACTGCCTGATCAAAGACGGGGTGGGGGTTTCAAACCAAAAAGAGGAACTTTTGGCACTGTGAAAACATATTTTTCGCCTATCACAATGTACTTTGGAAAACAACATTGAAAGTTGCGTATAAGACTTGTACACTGTAGTTTTCAATACTGAATAAACTTAACAAAGATACATTGATTTCAAACCCTTTGAAACACCTGAAATGTGGATATTTACCGGAACTTCATGACGGTATATATGGCTAGAGATTAATTCATTAATATGCAGAATCGTGGTCACCTTGAGCTTGAGAATCAACGTATAAGCCCTGGCTCGTATGCCGAATAGTACAGTATTTTAAAAATATTCGGTAGGGCCTACACACACACACACACACACAAAAGACTACCAACAAGGGGAACTCAGAAGCGAGCGAGGAGGGGGGGTTCGAACCCCCCCGCCGCCAGCCTACGGGCCTGTCTTGTGTAACTTCATTCAATACTCCTGGCGGTCCTCCTCGCAAAGTCGAGTTTAATAAACAGATCCGTTCAGTCAATATTTATTTTATTGGACCTGTTCTGGGTCCATTAAACACGAATATTACCAGACGGACATTAACAATGTCTTCAATTATTATCAGTAATTGATTATTCCCTTTATTTCCCTTTAAATTGAGACCAGCCTCTACACATGATAAAAACTCAGCATTTGGGTGTTTGCCATACACTCAGAAAGTGAAACTGTTTGAAGATAGTGTTGAAGGCTTGTAAAAGTGAAAGCTGTTAGTTACGTGTAAGCTGTGATTTGCTCGCAAACAAGAAAGGTGTTACCAAAATAGACTCAAAATACATCACCGCGGATCATTCACCTTATGCCCCACTGGGAGAGTCGGGTTATTTCTTCGGGATGGAAACTTTGTAAAGGTGTCAACGGGAAAGTATGTCAGCGATTCAGCCAAAGCTGAAGGATCGAGTTTCCCTAGGCTTGTTCCCCTGACGGCTGATTGAGCCCCGTGAATACACGGGATTAGGGGAGATTTTCCCAACCGCAACGCGGGGCGCTTGAATGCAGGGAGTCCCCCGGGACCGAACGGCCCAATCCCCCCCCCGCCTCGCTCAGTCATCGCGCCGGAAGAGCTGGGACCGACCTACGAGGTACAAGATAAAGAATGCGGGAAAACGGGAAGCTTGTAAGGGGGATTATCCCTCACAATGTCAGAGTTCGTTGTATATACAGGGTGGTATTCTCGTCCGTATCTACCGAGGGCAATTGCTGGCGAATCTGCGATGGCTGTGATATTGAAACATTCTATTCTATTTCACTTTCCTGACTAGGTTATCTCGGAGTCACAAGATGTGTCAGCAACAGTTCAATTGTACCTGACCAGCTACATAGGACTGACATAATAAATGGGTTTCTGAGAGGTCGAAAATGTCCACCGACTCAGCAGGTTTGCAAGTTACGCGGCAACACTTAACTCCCGGCTCCTTTGGCAAGAGAAGCCGAAGGTTTTGCATATTTATGTATCGTTAATGCGGATCATTTTTAGGTGAAAAACATGTAAGTTGAATTTACACTGTCATAAAAAAAATCGGATTTGTTTCCACCCTGTTAGCTACTTATGTGAGCCTTCCCTCTTGAAGCAAACTTGAGACGTCATGTTGATTGAGTCCCAAGGAATACAACCGTTTCAGAAACATTGTCAGATGCAGCAAGCTGAGAACAAACGATGAGGTCGAAACGTGCGGCCGGCTATCATCGGCCGGCTATCATGGGCGATTTGCGAAGGGCTCGAGCTGAAGGTGGCGCTGTTCAATTATCTTTGGGGCATGAACCGGTGTGAAGCGTTACACATCGTTGTGTCAATGGTAGACATGGTACCGCACCAATTTCATGATCCGCATTTGACTTGTTGGTCTGGCCCTAACTTAGACCAGGTCCTTAGGCATGTCCACTTTTGCCACAGGTCATTTAAATATAGGATTCAAACATAATGTCTTTGTTTAGACCAGTGTTTGTTTCAGGGAAGAAAATTGCGCCACAGCAGACTGGTTTGCTGTGTATTCCTTTGTAAAGGTTCAAGACGCACCATTCGGTACAGTGTTTGTGTGTTTCGAACTAATTGTCAGTTTTCAGTCGCTAGGGGGCTCACGACTCATCGACAGCTTGAAATTCTGCTGGTCTGTGTTGTATTCAGCGTGCAGCAGGTAGTTTCTCGCGGCTCGGTTGCTCCCGTGCGTGTACTGCACGGCAGCCATCTGGTGCGTGAATAGTGTCCTATACAACTGGTACTCGGCGTTTTTCTTGGCTTCTTTCTCCTCGGTCTCCTGCTTGGAAACGGCCAGCATCTCGCAATCGGCCGGCTGTACCTTGGAGAAGAGGCTCCCCCAGTTGATGGGATTACCCACCCCTGCGAACAGGGCGGCCTCGAGCAGATCTTGGGCGGTGACCGCACCCCGTCCCCCTCCGGCTCGCCACTCCATCCCACGCTGCTGGGCACACCGCTTCGCGTAGTCAATGATCAGTGCTCGTATGCGCTCCTTCCGTCCTTGCGTCATTCTTCTCGCGCCGGTCGCCTCCGATTCGGGTGAACAGGATGAAACAGAATACGCCCCCGCCTGGGATCCGGACAGTTTACCGTGTTTGAGGTGGAGCTTGTGCCAGGCAGAAGCAAAAGTATCGAAGAATCCAACATGATGCGCCGACTTTGGCTGGGTACGATATTCGGTGGTCGAGTTCGCGGTGTTGGAGTCGTCAGTGACATAGCAGACGTCTTGTATAGTTGATTCCCTCTCATCCGTTGAAGAGTAGCAAGAAGGTGACGAAGATGAAGACGAAAATTGATCATACCTTCTAAAACGTCTTTGTTGCATTCCTGCTCTATCAACGGCTGAATACAGATCCACAACACTTAACAGGAATGGACCTATGAATGGCAGACAAGGTGGCGACAGGAGAGATTTCTTCACCGCCATTTTGTACAGATCACTCTTTCCGTCGTCCGCCATCAGAAACACCATCTCGCTCCAGGCTCCAAACTCGGCCGGGTGGTCCTCCTCAAACGCCTGCCAGGTCCTCCTTAGGCGGTAGATGGGAGGTACCTTCAGCCCGCTCAGCACGGCCTTCAGGCTGTGGAAGTTCTGCAGCTTACGGCACCTCTCGGCGACCAGCACGAACCGGGCCACGGTTGCCGCCCGTTCCCTGGCGGTGGACCCCCGCAGGATCTCGGTGGACACCAGGCCCACCACGCGCTCGAAGAATTCGATGAGCCTGGTGGTGTGGGGCGCGCGGGCGTGTCTGTCTCCCTTAAGCCATAGACAGTCCACCAACTCAGCTTCTCGAACGCGCACAAACAATAGCGAGTCAAGTGAGGTCAACTCTCCGGCGAGGACGGCTGGATCGATGTCATGGACGCTGGTAATTTGGTCTGGTCGTCCATCTCGTCTTGAACGCTTACGTTTCCGTATATTGCGAAGAATTCTGGCAGAGAGATGCTCTGTGGTATCTGACTTTAATTTCGCGTGCTGTTTCCTAAGAGGTTCTCTGTGACTATCGTGGCTTCCGAGGTGTAATCTTTCTTTCATGGATTTCTCTGTCTTCCTTCCATGCCTCTGCACCGTTTGCCGTGCCAGCGCTGTCACACCAACTCGGCCCGAAATCGGTGCCCCTCCCTGTCCAGACATCCCTCTACGCCCCTTACCCTCTGCTGTCACGAACTCCAGGTCGGCCGGCAACTCGCGAGATTTCGTGATCTCCTGCTGCAGCCTGGTCTGCTCGGGTGACAGGAGCATCACGTGGCCACCGAACACGTGGGGCGTCTTGGTGTCGTCGTCATTCATCAGGTCCAGGTAGACGAGAGATTTCCGGTGGGCGACGTCAGCCGCCGGCTGCATATCGTCCAGGAAGCTGGCCTCTCCTTCCAGCACATCTGGCAGTGAGTAGCGACGATGGAGCATCTCCTTTGCGGGTAGGGGCGGCAAACCACGCCTTTCCCTGAGAATTGAAAAAAAAATACTTATTTGTGGCAACGTCATATCCGACATGTACTTTTGCGTTGGAGAAATGTTAATTTTAATTAAATGTTTTGCCCTTGTGAAGATACGTCGGTGTAAGGGCACAGGGGGGGCACCGTTAATTCTCCATCTCGTTTGGGTCTTGAAAGGGGGCAAAATAGGGATGTTTCTTTAATAAAAATGAGTGTCCTTAAGAATCCTTTTCCACCAAAGAAAGGTGGTCGTGCCCTTTCTAGAATGTTGGCACCTTGCAACCTGTCTCCAGGAGAAAAAATGCCCCCCTCCATATATCAGTTTCGATAACATCCAGGACAAGTTCTCCCTGGACAGATGAAGACGGCCTGTTACAGTAAAGAAGGTCTTCTGAGCCTCGAAAGTTTGGGCTCCGCGATAGCCTGTAACTTGGTGCCGGAAGATGGTATGTATTTTAAACCAAGGGAAAATTATTACCCCAAGTCATTTAAATAATAGTTTTCTTAAAGCTTATTGAAAGCTTGTTCCGTCAGGACTGTCTTGAGTAGATCAATAATGATGACCCCTCAAATAACAATGTTTATCTTTACAGGATATCAAGCCTCATGGTCATATGTACAAAATACAGACGATTGTGTATGTACAAAATGATTGATATGTGTCAAAGTGTTTTTACGCCAAAAGGAACCACACAAAGTCAGTGTAAACTTGTTTTGCCTGCATTCCCTCACGTCATAGCCCCGATTTCATCCAGACACCTGCATTTCGTTTCAAGCAAGCTGCCTTGGAACGAATATCCGTCAGGTCATTACTCATCGATTGGTTCAAATCCACCCCCCTCCTTTGTAGACATTTTCCCCTGCGTTGTGCAACAGACTCGTGCAATTACTGCCGATTTCCTCAAAGCCCCGACGGTCCATTACATCGCTCTTGGCACGGACACTGCACTGCAGGGATTGCGAGCAGAGTGGTATCTGTTTTGACAGTCTTTCTTTCAGGGCTCTGCACGTGATTGCCTCTATTCTTTACCAGCGTGACTCTCTTATGACGACCACTTTTTGTTACGACCAGTAATCGATCATCCACCTGACTCCATAATAGCCCTAACATGTTCAGCATCGTCAATCATGCTCTCCAGTGTTTATAATCGATACTGTAACGAAAAGGATGTCAAACCGTTCAGACATTCGGCAACTGAGCGAGGACTCAGTGGGTGGGAAACTACCGTCCTCCTCTTTAAAGAGTACAGTGTAGTCGTGGATTGCAATATCATTTAAAATCCGGGGCAAAGTGGTTTTTTAATGAAACTTTTGTCCCCTTTTTCATTAAACTGATCAATTTTAACAACTGCAATAGAATCCTCTCCACCCAAAGGAAGGCGCCGGTACCGTTTCTAAAGTGTTGGCGCTTTCAGTTCTAGTCTTGGTCGAGGCGTGCTAGGTCAGCGAGCGACAGGTGTGCGCTGCGCTGTGCTGCGACGAATGACAAACGCCTTGACCAAGGCTATTCAGTTCCTGAAAAATATTTCACCAAGGGGAGATAGTCTTCTCCCCCCCCGCCTGGACATGCCACTGACTGACTGTAGGCAATCTTGCAGACGCCGTATACCCAACATCCTCGTCTGCCTTGTCGTTATGTAAATGCAACAAATAATTTGAGATCAAGTTTTCGTGCGAGTCGTTGTCATGGTTCCCAGCTCCAGTACACTCGGTCTGTAATCTTGGCTTGGAATACATAATCGGAGTCGCATACCCGACCATCCGATTAGTATTTTAGACATCTCCCATTGTTTCAACTGTCCCTCATCAAGTTTAGTTTGTGAAACACTTGTCTTGAGGGTTTCCATAATTATACCGGTAACACGTTCACACAGCGGGACTGGCTTTAATTGTAGGTTTTTTCCTTCATTTTGAATAAAGTCTATATCTGTGGGTTGTGTAACGACACAAAGGCAGACCTTGACTTTGTAACACCTGGAAGACAGTGACAGCCTTTCAGCCTGGAGCAACAGTCCCCGGATGGGGTGTTGATGCTCAGTGTTGGGGCGCCAGAGTGACTGATTCGCACACCCAGCAAACCTCGATAATTGACTGGGCTCTTTTGTGCCGATGTTGCTGACACCTATACGCAGCACATTTCGATCAATACCGGCAGTCCCAATGAATGCTCTCTTTCTATCACTTGCACAAAGATTTCTTCCCAGAATGGTTTTGACAGAGTTCATGCTAGCAATGGCTCCTGGTTTGCAAACGAGAGTTGTGTAGTAGAAAAAGTTAAGTTCTTCATTAAAAGAAAAAAAGATTAAAGAATATTGCCTTTCCGAAGAAACGTTTCCCAAGACATATGTCACAAGGAAATAATCGTGTGGAAAGCGGAGGAAGGGACCCGTTGTTTCCCCCCCCCCAAAAAAACGAGATTATCTTATTGTTTAGAAGCAGGAACAAAGGAAGGGGAGAAAATATTAACCCTAAGGAATTGACTCTGCGGACAGCCCATTTTAGAGCAGACGGAGGATAGCGCGAACCTTGTCTCGCTTATTTTACAACTAAAACATGCAATACAAGCAGGGAAAAAAATGTCTGCACAAGTTTTGTTGTCCACGGGTTATCCAAAAGAAAATCTTTGCGGTTTTTCCTTGCCCGTGGAGATGAATACAATAACACATGCAGTCCAATTGTTTTACGGTGTCCATGATGGATATTGAAGTTGGATTCTTGTCATGACCCTTACCCGTGAGAGGTAGTCACGTCGGATTCCCTCAACTGGTCGACTGCCGTCAATGAGGCCATAGGGCGCCACCTACCGACGTGGCCATGGCCATGCGCCTCGATGTTGAACTTTTGGAAGAGGTCGCCAACGCAGAGGATCAGCTTCTGGTTGATGTTGTCCGAGACAGGGTGATTCCAGTCGAAGGATGCATCCCCGACCAGGCTGCCCACACTCTCGATGTCCTCCAGGCTAGAGTACGTGTCTGTGCTGCTGTAGGTGATTTTCCGGACGGGGAGGGAGTGGTGATCTCCCGGCTGCTGCCAGACGAACGACGCGGACGGGTCCACGACCGTCGCAGACTTGGACACGTGGCTACGTCCGTGTTGTCTCATGTTGCTGCTCGGAGAGTGGTGGATGCTGTCGGAACGACCAAGCAGGAGGCCAGGAAGGCCTGCATCTGGTGCGTCGTAGTCTTCGCCGGTTATCTGGCCATCATGGTCCCGAGACAATGCCCCTCCAAAATGGCCCACCCAGTGGTAAGCGCGGGAGTCGCGGCGTGTCCGCTGCTGTGCCGCCGCCAGGGCCGCTGCGCCTTCCTGACCATCAGCCGTCCACTCTTCCAAGTTCCCCCAATTCAGCTGTGCCCGTATCGCCTCTCTTGATCGTGGGTGTAGCGTCATCTGATGGTGCATCTCGAGGCGTCTCTTGTCTAGATCATGAATCCAGGACAACCACTCCCTCCAGCGATCTTCGCGATGCCTACCTTCAGCTAGCTCCAGGTACCACGTCTTCCCCGAGGAGAGGCGAAGCCTCAAGACGTGCTCTCCCCGGTGCTCCTGGTGTCTCCTGGTCGACAGCCTGGTATTCTGTAAGGGGAAGAGGTGCGCCAGGTAGAGGTACTCTAAGTTGGAGGGTGCGTCGGTCGCAACTGCGACAGTCCTGAGATGATCCGCGTCTGCCTCTACGCTTTCCTCAGCTATCAGCACCACGGTGTGCGTCAGGCCAGCGTGTACCATGCACAGACACTCCCCGTGTTTTCTCTCCAGAACGAAGCGGCTCTCGACCAGCACCACCTCGTCAGAGAAGTCGGAGTATTCTTCAGTCCACAACAGTTTTTGAAGAGTCGCCATCTGCTGCTCGCCCTGCCACGTGGCTGCAATTTAAGCGGGAAAATCGACACCACTTGGTTATTTTAACAAAAATAGGCGTTTCGGCTTGTAGCGATGTAAACACGGCAGTATGTGTGCGCAACGAAATGCATTGCGATACGCGCGGTTGGCGATCGCGCAAGGTGTTTGTGACGTCACAAGCCAAAACGCTGTGCGCAAACTTCCGACCAATCAGTGCTGATGTGAAAAAACTACGATTTATGCAACAGACGAGGGCGCTATACCACGATTAACTCTATGGATCAGCTACAGAACTCGCAAATGATCTGAGTGCACATGAATTTGAATGACTGAAGTTAAAAGATTTCTTCGACAAGGTCATATAACAAACCATTCCAAACACATTCTTTACAAGTAAGTGAGTTGTACAATTTCAGGTTTTTTATTAATAAACTCCATTTAACTTAATTATATAAACACAATAAAACAGACTCTTCACAGCACTCGGCCTAAATTAACGAGTTTTCGTTTCATCAAAATAAAGGGAGGAAGTCTAAGACAACTAAAGATTTCAATTTGAACGATTGCTACTCTTATAAAACGCCCTCATCAGTACGGGTGGGTAACGTTGTAATGTACTAGGCCAACAGCACTTTTGACCGCACATCGTTTACATTCTGTACATTGATTTGATCAGCGAGTTGATCCCCCTTCAAATCGGTGAGTGCTTAATTTAACCATAACACAAGAGCAGTAATACTTCTTTCCCCAAAGCATAGGATGCAGGCCCATGATTTCCCAAACTATTAGCATTACTGGACCATATCTCCATGATTTGTATAAGAAACCAATGACTGCAGTCCAAGAACAACCGTGAACCGTCGATGTGGCTTCACTCGGCCGGATGTTGTGTACAGCTTGCGATGATCTATATCCCAACCATTGGAAATAATGTCATACTGCAACTCGGCAGTAGCATGACTCACAAAAGGAAGTCATTGCATGAACGTGTACAAACGAAGTAACGTAGCTTAACATGTACATGTATATACTTTGTGCTTTGTTTCACAATTAGTCACCGGAACTCTTTCTTGCTGGACTGTGTTTTTGGTTTTGGTCCTTTTTCCACTCGGGCTAGCTGTTAAATATTTTCAATCTGTACTTTTATTGCTTTCCTTTCCTTCTGAATCAACTACAAAGAACGTGTTTACGCCTCTAACGCAATGCAAGAGATGGAAATGTCGACCCGAGTGTGGAAAAACAAACTTTTTTTTCCATCCAACCACAACCACAAAGTTACAGCTCAAACAAAATGGCCCGAGGACAATCAACATACAATTTCCTCAAGAAACATTTTTCCATTTATTTATGCTACATGTAACGCTCAATATCAACATTATCATACAAGGGGGGGTTACAATTACACAGGACCCACGTCAATCAGTGCATAAACCTTCAATTGTACTGGAAAAATCATGAAGATAAAAAACGCAACCATAAAATTGTTTTCCAATCAGGGCTACGAAGAACCGAGATGAATTAATTATGTACTGTCTATGGCAGCCATCTTGAATTGTAGGGTTGTTCTCCCACTAAAACTCAAGAGTTGCCAGATTGGAATGCGTTCAATTTATTCAAACTTTTAAAAAAAGGAGCATAAATTACAAGATGCACAATACAATTTCTTCCATTTCCAATTTGACTTCTATAAACTACAGTATTTGTGACTTTTACACACATAGGTCAACTGATTCACTTTTCCAACCTATTTACCACCTGATTTTACCGACACTATTGCCTCACAAAAAGAATGAGAAACAAGGGGCATCTGGCCTATCTAAAGAGATAGGGCCAGTGACCTGGTCCAGAAAACTCGTTTGCACCGACGTCATGCAATTTCCATACACCTTCTTTTTTTTTTTTTTGATCGGTTTCAATGGGCACTGGTGTCTTTCGGCTATGGCTAACTAGTGAGGCTTGCTTATGGCAAGAACAGAAAAGTCGAGCCACAAGGCGCCAAATCTGGACATGATTTGCAGACATCAAAGATGGCAGACTGAACAGGGAGGACTGTAGGAGATGCGACGGCGTGTAAAGGATTATTGAACACGTGCTTCAGATTTCGGTTCAATTACATTTCTGGAACAGTGACCTTTCTACAAAGCCTGTCCCATCATGACACAGCCAGTCGACAAAAATAAACAGGTGGAGTTTTTCTCTCACACACACAAAAATCAACGACCGTGCCTTCTTAAAAGTTTAAACAGCTAGATACATGTACAAGTATATAACTTCCTTTCACACCCCTAAGTTGGAACGTACAACAAATTTTAATTTCAACATTCAATAATAGATTATAAATTGGCCAAAATGACAAACAATGTTCATAAATAATAATTTGTTTCCCACAATGCCTGGAACTTTACGAGATTACCTTCTTCTGACCAAAACTGAGGTAATTTTATTACACTTCCACTGACTGAATGGTTCAAATGAAAATGATTTCAACAGTTCTCTTCACAATATAAGGAATTGTCAGAAATAACCTCAGTATGGGCCATGCTTGTTTATAATATCTTGGGTTTATAGTAGTGATATCTTGGATAACATGAAAGGATTAATGAGATCGTTAACTTTAATACACAAGGGAGGAATGAGGTGGAAATTACTGCCATCACGATGTAAATCTGACTTGAATGGAAAATCCCAATGGCAACCAAAGTTTCATGCTTTACTGAACGGCGCGAACGCTGCTTAACAATGATTGAATGATTGTATTAGATTTGTATTAGATCTGGTCCCCCTTCTCCTATTGTGGAACTGACCCTGGTTTGAACAATAACAGATACAGAACCAACCTTTTTGGGGGGAAGGTGGTAACAACTTTGGGGACTCTTTATGTAACTTTTTGTAGCCTTTCTGAGGGGTAAGGCTAAATTCTTTGATTGGCCAATATCAAAATTTCCAAAATCTATTTAATTTGTATGTCAACCCCCCCCCCCGAGCAATTTTTTTACACCATTTTGAGGGAAACATCGCTGCCTTTGAACCAACTGGATATGCTGCTGGGGTAAGAAATTACAAAGCTCAATCAGGTCTACACAGAGTAGTGACAAGATGCATCCCACACTCTGCATTGAAAAATATCTCAGTCCCTGCAAAGATGAAAAGACGCACGAAAACTCCAGATGGACAAACCATGGCTGACTGGTCTTGACTCTCTCAATGTATGGCTAAGGGTGTATCATTTCATGGTGGTTCAATGTTGACAATGGAAGGACCTGTGTTGTGAGGGGGCTTTACGATGGCATTCTCATTCAGGAATTTCAGCATCCTGGGGGAAGAGCAGAAATATTTCTCTGTCAAGTTGTGTCAGCAAAATTGACATGTAAAACGAACTTGCCAGTAAATTTTCTCGCACTGGAAACACTGCAAGTGCAGTTAGCATGTGACAAAATAGTGGGGAGTTGTATTCATGCAAGGTAAGCTTTCAAGACAAAGCACTTACGTCCCACTCCCAGTAGAGGGCTTTGATGATTTCTGACTTCAACTGGGGTCCAAACAGAGGGTTGAGTTGCATCAGGAACGTGCACAGCCAACTGTTCATTTCGAAAAACAGTGAAAAATTGAGTGCATTTGTCCTTTTGTGATTTTAAACTTATGTGTGATTCTCCTACAAAACAATGAAAACTTTCTCTCTCCAGGAAACCTTGGTCCAACTGACTTTTACACACTACATGTACATTATCAACTGGATTTAAGAAAACTTAAATTCCATGAAATCTTGGTGCATTTGGCAAGTATTCTTACGGAGACAAGAATAATATGTACTTACAACAAATAACAGCAGACAGCAGTAAGTGCTAACATCAACTGAATGATTCTGAAACACAAAACCAGAAATTCACTGATTGTCGAAGAATGGCAAGCCGTTCACAAAGAAAACAAAAAATCTGTTCGGTTATTGGTTATTTTTTCATACTTGTAACTCACATGTAATGCGATATGTCGCTCTTCTTGCACCACTTTGTCATGATGGTACCTGCCTTCAATTTCTGAGTACAAGGAGAATTCTCCTGATCAGGAGGCAGATCCCCCTTTCGAGGGTCTCTTGTTCTCTATATCGGGTGAATTTTCCAGGGTTTTCTGACATATTCACCGATACTGAATAGAATCCCTTGAAGCAGAGTGAATTTTTAACAAGACTACCACAAATCCCTGAGGATTTGTTGGACTCTTGTTAACTCTCCACCTCCTCTGTTTCCACTCTGGCATGTGAAATTCCAGGTATAGCAAAGACAGTATCAGTTACTGATAGTCGTCCCCATAAAAATGAGACTCAGTCATTTGTGAAGGACCATCATGCATCAAAGCTTTCAGCTGTTTAATAAATATGTATATGCGACCTTACATGTTCCGGCATGACCGGTAGGGCCTACATCGGAAAAACATGCCATCCTACCAGTCGTGCTGTTTAGCGTCAACTCACACAAGTAGAATCAACAAAGCATCAACAACTTGATAATTCCCTCTAAAGATTGAGAAGTGGATTTTATCATTTTTAGAGACTCTTAACACCTGCCACTGTGTAAAAGAAACAGCGAATTTGCTTCCAGATTCTCGCAGGAAATGAAAACTGTTTGCAATGTATGGGGCTGCCGTCTTTCTTTTCTCTGCCGTCCACGCAAATAAGATGGCAGCCAGTCAGGCTGTACGAGAAGGCCCGACTTTTTCACTCTCAAATTTCCACACTAAGTAAATATCACTTCAGAAAAATAAGATACACGAGCTCAATTAATAGGCCTATTGTAAATATATAAAATTTCTTAATAAATAAATATGAATTACATAATGACTTGTTGACGCTTATTTGACGCTTGTTGACGCTAAATACATGGTGTAGCAAGACCCACTCCTACACTACAGCTCAATGTGCATGGCATATTCAATATGCAGGTAGGCCTAGGCCGGGCTATAATGGTTAAGCGGTAGGCCTATCCCATGGCATGCCGCATCTGATTTTCGACAGTGGAAACTCACCCTCTATCTGGTCTTTTCCGTGGAACAACGAGCGGAAGAACAATGCCTACAAAAGCCCATATTACCGTCACAATAACAGCCGTAATCCAAGCAGCCGCCATGCTTAAAAACACGTCGTATTCACGCCGGGGCTTCTCAAGAAAGTAACATTCGTCAAGTTTCGGCACAAAACGACACCGATGAGGTCATCTGATTATGCACATTGTATCATGTGACTTAGTTAGTCTGGCTTCCCACTTCGATGTAGAACTAGAACGTCTATTTGCGTCTGGGTGAAAGATAAACTAAAAATATAATTACCTTCTAGACTGGTTCCCTCCCATCCTATTTAGCGCGCAGCAGCAGTGCGTGCATTTTCCTTCTCATGATACAAGGTTTCAGACTCTCGTGCACGTTTATTCTGCGTGTCAAACTTGATCTTGGCCTAGCCTAGCCTACGCGTGAACTGAACTGAATCTGCTTGCCCTGACGAAGGTACTCAATTACCGAAAGCTAGGCAATGACATAATTCAAAGCACTGATTTTATATTATATTTTTGTCTATATTCTGATCACGGTGCTACACAGCCGTTTCATATTTCTTTGATCTACGCATGGAGGTAGGAAAATGATCCATGATCTATATCTACGCGTGACTTTGTGTGCACTGGGCCTGTATTCAGATATTTTCACTAGTTTTCTTTCAAGTTTTTGTTTTAAGAAGAGTTAATCAAGGTGTTTGCCTAGGCCTTCAGACATGACAGACGTCACTTATTTCCCCAGCCATGCCTGCAGTTGTTTATTAGCCGTCAGAACATGTAGAAAGCGATAATATGTCCTTAAATATCAAATTTTGCGGGGAAAATTAGCAAAGAACACACTTGAATCATGTTCTTATTCCTTCATTCTTTTCCTAGTCCTACCTACCCCCCAGAACTGTGGGGTTTGACATCGGCGTCAGATCCCACAGTTATGGGGGTTAGTCCTACCTCCATGAATAGACCGATTGCGCCTAGTGCCGAGTATGATTAAGTCACATGACCTAAACTGTATAGTGTAAAAAGGCAATGTTTGCTCCTTTTTCCTTTCCACAATGCCTTTCTACCATTGTGCAAAAATCACCCATGCAGTATTTGCGATAAGGCTCATCAGTTGATCAGTCAGTGTCACCATTCAGTCTTTCATTCTTGTATGAAATCTCTGACCACATTGAGGTAGGCTCTAACGACCCTTGTTTTTATCTAATCAATCTAAACAGCTGTCATTTACCAGGAGATGCAACTGCCCGATGACAGAATCATCAACTCATCTGATCAAGCATTAAGATTAACAAATCGAGGGAAGATCAAGCAATTGCACAAGTCGGTCGATCAAGCCCATTAGCAGTACTAACGCATACGCTGGCACAGTAACATTGACAACGTACAACAGATGAATTTGGCTAACTTAGGGTGCGTGAATGATAATACAAAAACTTCCTTTTACATGGCCCCAGATGCACTTGTGAATGCAACGCGCTTGGTCCAAGTCATACATCGTAGTTGTTAATTTAAAATATTCCATAAAAATCTGTTCCAACCACACAGGCTGCTTTTCACAAGGTGGTTGGTATCCTCAACGTGTCCAAGATGATTCCTCGTGCTTGTTTTTTAGCCTGGCTGCTGACGCTTTGCATGACCCACAGCCCTGTATCAAGTAGGTGTCCAAGTATTCACTTCTTGTTTCTTCTCCATGATTCTAATATCCATAACTTTGCAGTCGGGTTACTGTGCTTTAATGCCTGTTGTAAAGTTTGGTTGGTTTTCAAATCGTGAAATTAGGAATCTTGTAACTACACTGTCACAGATGTTAGTCATCAGTCAGCAACAGATTTGGTAATATGTTTCTCGATTGGAACATTTTTTAGCTATGTAGTCATGTATCATCCGTTTTTATCACGTTATATCTTTGCATTATTGAAGCTACTGAACAACTCAACTGCTGCATTCTTAGAGTAATCATTCACCCATGTCAAAGGACTGGGGTTAACATTTGCTTCCACATGAAACTATTGTAGTGACGCCATTCTTACAGAAATTAGTCGAGTACTTTTTGAAGACATTGATTGACAGAGTTTCTTGTTTTGCTGGTTAGGTTTTGCCTGTACTGCCAAGTCAGCACTTGATAAACTAATTTGAGAAGAACACTAAGAAAGCACATTCAAAAACTGATATGTAAAAATTTATGGAAAATAGTTCAGGGCTGTCATCATCCACTAATTCTGCCGAGTTTATTAGGAAAGAAGTGATAATGGCCTTTAACCATGTCTCCCATCATGTATCACACAAAATGATAGATCTAATTGCTGTGGTCTATTGAGGTAAATGATTGTCTCTTTACAACGACAAACAGGCCAGGAAGATGGCAATTTCCGGCTTGTGCCATACGGCATCAGCCTCAGTCGCCTGGAGGTCTACCACTCGGGCTCCTGGGGTCCCGTCTGTGCTGAAAACTGGGCCCTGCGTGAGTCGGTGGTGCTCTGCACTCAGATGGGCTTTAGGTTTGTTGGCAACTGGGACCGGGCGGATGTGGGCAGGGTGACACCTGCCAAGCTTGGCAACGTGCAGTGCCACGGGGATGAGAGCTCCATCCTAGATTGTAAGCACGGCCCACTGGGCGAGAACCGAAATTGCTCTGACGGATTGGTGACAGTGTATTGCACTGAGACTGTAGGTAAGGGGTTAAGATATGCCTGCGCCCAATACATGAATATATGAATAACAATTTTTAGATTTGAATATTTGTTGGTGGAATACTTTGAAATGTATTAAAGGAAAACCTCTGTTTCTTTGTAAACCAAGGTGGTTTCATAAAGCTTAATCCAAAAAGAAAAATGACATTTCTGTTTCAGGTTAGCAATTAATTCAAAGTTATTGTAATGATTATTATGTGTTGTTTTGTTTATTGATAAAAATTGCTGCTGATGAAGTTTAACCCCTTCGCTACGGATGACTGCTACTACCGCACCTTTGTGTGAGCATTAGTGCATACCACACATACAGTCTATTCANGCAGTCGCGGTCAAAATATTCCTTTCGCGAAGGGGTTAAGGGAAAATTCATCGTACTGCTAGATATTTGAATATTCAATGGAATTTGAGGTCAAATATTCAATAATCAGTTTTGATTTGGCCCAGCCCTAGACTTGATACAAGAAGCAGGGTCAGATATTGCAGTCATACTGTATGCAATGACACCTTGGAAATCTATGTTAAGGCCAAGATGACCGAGATGAGGTCAGGGGAAAAACTTGCTTTGGAACCTTTGTTGAAATTCTAGAGTATCCTTGTACATTTAAAGAGGATCTCCCAAAATTGCTGCATGGGACAGAAAGGACTCTGTTATGTTTACCACAGTTAGAGTCATTGCCGGTTTTGGGGGTTCAGTTGCCTTCAGACATAAACCATTCTAGCTCTGCACCCCCCCTCCTTGATCTAGCAAACTGTGCACCCAGGTTTTGCTTCTTTGTCACAGTATTTTGATTCAGGATGGTAGAGTTAAGCCATCATTATTTTGAACACAGGCAGATGTTCCATCAAATACACATGATCTTTGTCTTGGTTTCTGCCCATGGCCCGATTATGTAACTGCTTCTCACTGTCTCGTCTCTGCAGACGTGGGCCGTTTGGTGGCTGCCTGCGGCATCCTTTTAAGCCTTCAACCCATGTTGTAAATCTGGGGGCCTCCATGGGAAGCAGTGCCATCACTGATCGGAGATGACCCTCATTAATAGATGACAGAAATTTCAGGATGTCAAATTGCCAAGGGGTTGTTCATATTCGTTTACCCTAGTCGTTCTCTCTATTTGTTAGATTCTCAGTGTGAATGGTGTGCCCAAGTGTGACAAACAAAAAATTGATTTGTTTATAATGAGAACGTTTTGCTTTACGAGTCATTGTCGTTTGCACTTCTCTTGGACTATTCCTCTCACTTCAGGTGGAACCGTCTCACTGAAGGATGGCGAGTCATTTTCCGAAGGTAGGGTGGAGGTCAGATTGCAGTTCAGAAACAAGACGTTCTACTACACCATTTGCGATGAGGGCTGGGACTTGGCCGATGCTGACAGGGTCTGCAGGGGCAGAGTGTACACCTATGACTCAGCCCTTGAAGCAGTGCGAGGGTCCTACTTTGGCGAGCATGCCGTGGGAGAGTCAGGCCTCGATGGAAAGTTTGATGGCTTTCTGACGTCCAGCGTGCAGTGCAACGCATCGTATTACAGCGTTCTCGATTGTCCCAACTCGGGCTGGTTCACCAGGAGCTGTCCTAGCGGAAAGACTGCTGGAGTGAAATGCAAGGAATTTTCTGGTAGGAGGTGTATTTGGGTGATATTTTTCAGATTTTTTTCAGTGGGAACGGCTCCCAGATCTGTTGAAATATCCACCAGATTTTCTGGAAGGAATTGACACAACTGAGGACAATGAAGCCCAGGGACCATAAGTGTGCACAGGATTTGATGCAGTTTGAAAACTCCTATTGGTCATCTTCACTATTCACACTTGCCGTGTGAATAGCTAAAGTTTCTCAACTGAGAGTACCACAAACTCCTTATCACAGCTTGATAAAAGCCAGTTTTTACTTTAATTTGTACATCAAGGAATGCACAGTTTCTTGAGCTTTTTGTCATCGAGGTGCAAATGACAAGGCTGAGTTGAGCACTGAATTTATTTTGAACAAGCTTGGCTATTGTCCTGATTTTCCAATGAAACCAAAAAGTCGTGAGCTTTCCATGTTGTTATTCTTAGCTCTCGTAAATCCCCATCTCCAGTTTCCAACCTGTGCCCTTCCTTTGGCTATTTTTATTGAAAATGTTTGTTTACTGGTTTGTTTGTCACTGTTTTTTCCCCTTGTTTCTCGGTTGGGGTTAAGACCAGTACCAAGTCAATCTGACGCTTGTTGATGGGACTTCAAGATACAACGGCTTTGTCAAAGTTGCCATCAACAGTGTCCCGTCTGGGTCCATCTGCGACAGCAACCGTTACTGGAGTCTGCGAGAAGGCGACGTCGTGTGTCGCTCCTTGGGATTTGGCTATGCCCTCAACGTCTCGGTGGTCAAAAGCAGTCTGGAGCCACGGATCAACAACGTCCACTGCAACGGGAATGAAATGTCACTCTCCCAATGCCTCAGGGGTGGGCTTTGCCCGCAGAGAGGTGAACTTGCCCCCACGGTCAACTGCAGTGGACCGCTCAGTACGTTTCAGGCAGAAGAAATCGGTGTTTTGTTCTAGACATTTAAGACCATCACAAAACCGCACAAGGGCATTGAATTCAAGTTCCAATCTGTGAACATGAACCGCAACTTCCAAGATTCCACGTCAGACTTCTTCGAAGAGGTTGATCTTTCGCATTATAAAAGGTCTGCAGAAGTCGAATTTCACATTTTTTTTTTCTTTACAGAGGCTGGTTATCATCCTATTGAGCTCCGTCCCAGCCAAATTAGGTTCAGGGGTGCAGAGGGCCTCCTCCGGATCCTGAGAAACGGTCGCTGGGGAACCGTTTGTAATGCCAGCTGGACTCTGGAGAATGCACGGGTGGTATGCCGTCAGCTTGGGTACTCCTCTGTCATTAGGCACTGGTACAGCTTCCACGGCTATGGACCAATCCACCTGAGTAACGTGAAATGCGCGGGGACAGAGCCACGCTTGGACCAGTGCCAGCATGACAGCTGGGGGGTCCACGACGGGTGTAGCCACGCAATGGACGTGGCAGTGGAGTGTGGCTCAATAACACTAACAGGTCAGCTGTTTTTTTTTTTACCTGATTTTTAGTGAATGTGCGCATGCTATAAGCCCAAGGCTGGGACTGTTGAAGGTGCTCTGTGGCCTACTTAGGAGAGCCAATGATGATCTTACTGTCGAGCAGTTTCTGACAAGTTTGACATGCCTTAATTCCCCCTTTATGTTCAACCAATTTACAATTAGATGTGCACAAAAATCTGTTTTCTTTGTTACAAATTAGCTTCAACCCAATACTGATTTTACTTCTCTGCTTTCAAGGTTATAAAATACATGCCAGATGAACTCTATTAGTAGAGAACCATTCCCTGTGTCTTACTTGCACACGTTGCAATTCCGCTGTAAACAGACATTGCACTTGTAGGATTTGGTTCTGAATTTTATTGTTTACTATTTTTTTCCTCCGCAGTAAATTTCACGTTGATCGCAGTTCTGGCAAGCATGGCCAAGTTTGTCAGTCACCAGTGATGGATTGATGATGAACTGGGAAAACAAAGAATGCAGGTTCAGGGTCGTGCGTTTTGCTGTCTGTAATAAGTAGATGTAATGTATTTTGATGATATAAAGTTCTTGCCATTACCCGTGTGGTTTACCGGCATACAATTTCTTCAAAACTGATCATGGTGTACATTATTTATCAACCTCATTTTTAAGTAATTTTGGGAAATAATTCGTATACGTGTAGTAAGTGCCAAATTTGCCCGGTGTTGTGATTGAATTGACCTTTCTTTATATTTTTATCATTTGAGTCAGCCAACTTGTAACTCAGTTTGGAGTGCCGTTTTTTATAATCACAGTAATTGGCTCATGTGTCAAGTGGATAAAAAACTTTATCAGGTCTGTTTCTTTTAATTGCCATGACAATGTGCAGATTGATCTTTTATGGGGAGTAATGTTTAAGCACAACTCTCATTAATAATCTGTCGTGATTCATACAGTACTTAAAAAGGTATGCTGTCATAAGCAGTCATAGATGAAGTTGTAAGTTCTTGTTTTCTAAAGTTCTTTGAACTCTAAAGCTAATTTTTCAACAATGTACTTCAATAAATTACCATGTGAATCAATATTCTCATACTATCTTCAAGCAAACTTGAACTCTCTATTCTGATTGGTTGATCCATAGCAATAAACGATGTGATACATAAATACATATTGTACCGTTCGTATCAAACCCCATGTAATGTACTTTTCGAACTCAACGCATTGCGTTATTTTGATGCTAAAAGCAAAACGAACATCTGGAAAATTTGCTGTAGATTCAAAGGCGTACGTTTGCATGCACAGGCCCCTGTAACATCTTTATTGCATGTCAAATTTGCTGGAAGATAAATCCTGTAAACCACGACTTCAGCCTTGTGGCATATGGGACACAGACGCACTACACTATTCCACTCATGCTCGTGTGATAACCAATAATGTTGAAACTGTGACCAATAAATGGCATTATTGTAATCAGTTTTAAGGCATAGCAGTACGCGATTGCAAGAAACTGTTAAGATGTAGATGTAAAAGTTCTTAGTTTTTCTGAAGTTTTTTTTAACTCGAAAAAGTAATTTTCAAGAATACACTTCTAAACTTGTCCATATGAATCGCTGCTTCCATAATTGTCATGACTGTGACCAAAAATAAAACTTCTGTATTTCATAAACGTCAAGGAGTTCTCTTGCTGATGATTTTTTTAAGTTCAAAGATAACTTAGTCATGGGTGAACCCTGGCTCACGAACATGACCCTGAACTTGTGATAAGGATGCATCTTTGCCAAAAATATGGCCAATTGTTGCTGACATAGGGCAGAGCTGGCCGTGTACATGTTATAGAGAGTTGCGACATGAGGGTCACTACTATTGGAAACTAATTGGCAGGTGTATGCACCTGTGCTCACTGGCAGATGGGCAGTAGTCAGAGGCTCTATTGTGCATATAATGAACAGCCATTTTGTTTCCAAAATCTGAAGCTGGCACTACGCTCTACATTCAGCTCAGACATAGGGCAGATAAGGTGCCCCACCTTGGGGAAAAGTAAGTATTATTTTTGCGCTGAACCATTCAAAACCCCTAGATCAGCTCTTGATAAGTCGAATGAGTGCCACTTAAACTTAATGAGACAGCAGATGCAAATTACTTATTTCTGCATTAACTGAGGATTCTCACGAAGAGATTTAAAATCTTTCAAGTTCTGAAATGGAGTGAAAGTCTCTCAAATCTAAGCCCAGTGGCCTGTGCAGTGGGGTGTTTATTTTTTGATTGGAGTGGACTCATAATGTCTGAAGTTTGATACCCTACCATTTTTTTTAGCCAACAGTGGCGTATCGAGTGGGGGGGGGGGGGCACTGGGCAACCTGCCCCCCCCCGACAGGTTTTTCTTTTCTTTCTTTTTATTTTACAAAGGATACTTCATAGGTAAGAAAGTAATCGTTACATATTTATCAAATATACGCACCAAAACCCAGAGAAACAACAACATGAAATAAAAGCAAGGATATCGGGACCGTGAGTAAGGTTTTGATATTTTTTCTCCATCAACGTCACGTTGGATGAGCCTGAAGCATTCGCCTTTGAACCCCCCCCCCAACCAAAGGTGGATACGCCGCTATATGTCAGGTCCTGTATTTGACCCGGACTCCAGTACAAAGTGGTTTAATTTTTCTTTAGGGGAAACAGACAGTCCAACTGTAAGAGGCTACATTGTGAAATCAATCCAGCTCGAAGGAGTCGAGCGGCTTCTAGGTGAGTCAGAGACTTGAAGCTGATAAGCATTTAACCTTTTCACCCTGTGTTTGGTGCTCGGGTTGCTCGTCCATTTAATTATCCGGTCAACTTCTGTAACAACCGTGTCCAGTTTAAAATTCATTCCCCCCCTTTGCTTTTTTTCTGTTCGATCATATGAGGATTCCGTAAGAGGTTGAAATACTTGAAATTCACGACAGCCTCAAATTCAAACTTTGGGGATCGCTCAGCGTTTTGGCTTGCAAGCGCGTCCGCCACTGATGTTAGATGCATGGCGTTATTTGCGCTATTGGTCCGAAGTTTTTCAGTAAAACACAAAACAGCCGTAGAGATTAAAACCGAAGCTCGTATCAATGATTAAAAAAATTGTGTGATAAAATAAATGTTCAAAGGTTACATGGAGTAAATAAATAAAAATTGTAAACTTAAATTTATTACATTTTTTCTAAAGTTTAGTCTTTGAAAAATGAGTTCTAAACTACTTTAGCTTGATAAACTGTTTCAATTACATGAAGTTTGAATTATATTGACAAAGTCAAACAAGTCCAAAATGGCTGGCGCGTAAACATGAATCTGGACCACTTGTAATGACAGCAAAAATACACGTCAACCATCAACCAAAGACATCTTGAAGAATCAAAAGACTTTCATGGCATCAACAAATTCCCTGAAACCAGCAAGATAAATATGAGAAGATTTTAGGGAGGAAAACAGTCGAAATCTTGGCACAGTACTTCATCATGCAGCCGACGGCAACACTGCTGCAAGGTAGCGTACAAAAAGCCGATCGCTTCTCGCAGCGAAACGATGCCAGTTTACGGGCAAAGGCAAAACAGGCGGTGCTGCATGAACTCAGCGAAGGTCTTCGCGTCAAGGCAATGAAGATGAGGTTAGCTGCACGAGGGGATAGTAAATTGGACACCAGAGGAGACGGCAGTGATCCAGGAAATTTGGGAATGAAGAAAAGAAAGGAAGAAGAATTGGCTCAAAGGCCAGCAACAAAAATGTGAGCTTACTCAAACTCAAGTGGTGGAATTGAATAGGCCTATTGTAGAACTACCGTGTTTGTGGTCTGCTTCGCTTGCGCTCCCACGGAGTAAAGTGGACGATGAAACTCAGACTCTACATGCTCTAGGCATGCTAGGGGTAGGCTACGTATGTCACTCCCACTCAGAATAGGCCCTAGTTTTACTATTCTAAATAGAGTCATCTTACAAAATGCGGGAAGAGTTCCATATACGGATGCCAGTATGACCTATTATAAGCCACCAGAAAGCAAAAACATGTCCAGAAAAGCTCAATTTAGGAGGGAAAACACCCAGTCGTTTACTGAGAAAATATTTTGAATTTTTCAGACCAGTCTCATAAGGTTTGTGCACGGGGAGTCAAGTTATCCCGTGGAGGAATAAAAACATAGGCTACCCCCAGAACTGTGGGATCAGACGTCTGCCCCACTCCCACAAATGTTCATGGGAGCGGGGTGGACATTGGACCCCACAGTTCTAGGGATAGCGTTAAGTGGCATCCATATATGAAACTCTTTCCAAAAATGCTTGACTTAATTTTTCCTTTTTGTCTGTTTTGTAGTTGAGTTTGACTGGATTTTACCGGTAATATTCGAGTATTACTACACATTGGCATGAATGTTAACCCTAACCTTCCCCAACCACACAGAATTAAACAGTTGTAAAGTGTTTAATTCTGTGGGGATAGGTCTGGTAGGCCCACAACAGCTGACTTTTGCATTGGGTTTGGCATACCTCAGAAAAACAAAGTCCAACAGCCTCTGTGCACAAAGTCCCATATGGGTATCTAACTTTGTGTGAATGGGGAAGGTTAGGGCCAGCAACCCTTGGGGGGTTAGGGTTAAAGTATTAAAGATTGTCAGCTGGCATAGCTGGTTTGAGTTACCCTAATTTTAGGTTTTTTAACATGTTTAAAGGGTCAAATTATGAAGTTCTGGTTGTTCGGCCTGCTATAGTTTCTTTTGTGTGTCATAAGCCTGTTTCTTTTTCTACTTTATTTTTTCTCTTTCTTTCTTGAAAATTCCACATTCACCCAGCAGGTCTCGCATTCCAGTCGCCAGGTCACAGGGTAAGACGACCCCCAAGACAGTCCCCCGTGTCCACTTCCAAAGTCCCGACACCATGCCAAAGAAGGAGATGTCCCAGCCTGGCGTACCATTGTCTGCACCGTCAAGTCGCCTGCCTAGGGCAAGACCTGGCTATACCTGGAACATGGGTGGCCGGCTGAAAGAAATCAGAATAAGGTATGTGACAAGCTCACACTGACCTACCTGCAGTGTGTAGGGTTCAACAGTTTTTTTTTGGTTTAAATTTTACACCTTGGAGAAACTTTAAGTAAGTTCTTAAGGCCAGTTCATACTTGCTTGGTGCGACAGTGACTACAAACATGGTTTTGTGACATCTGATCAAATGTTCTCACCGCACATTTCAACTCAAGCAAAATTTTCTGCAAATGTCATTTTATGACAAATTTACTTTGTTTCTGCATATTCCTAAAACATGAACTGACCCTTCTGTGTCCGTTTTGAATTCTTTGATTCAATGTTTCTGAATAAATCATGTAATATCAAATATATAAAAGATAAAAGTCGTTGCTAACAAGAACATGGTTTCATGTGCGTTTTTCTTTCAGACATCTTGCAAGAAAGTTCCTCCATATTTGGATGGCTGCAGCATTTGGCCGCATTCGCCCGTCTGTCGTAAGGTATGCTGTGCTGTTGTCATCTACAATGTCTACTGAAGAAAGAACTATACTTCACATATTCAAAGGCTAATCTCTTGTGATTTGAAAGAGAAAAGGTCACTTTTTGTCCCCCATTTAGGCAACATTACAGGAAGCGTTTGCTGTCCATAGCCTTCAGAGAATGGACCGATTTCTGGTGGACTAGTCGTAAAGAATGGAAATTGCAGATCAGAGCAGACTACCACAGGAGGTAAGTGTCGTCAAATCGCAGGATGCAGCTGCAGCACCATGTCCATTATAAACTTGAATTGATTGGTTCTGGATGCTGTCTGAAATACTGATTCATGATTAAGTGATTCTATTTGGTCGAAACGTGACCCTTGAAGAACGTGGGAGCGTTTCATGAATGGTTGGACTGGATTTGGTCGTAGAATGGTTTGCTTATAATAGTTTTTGGTGTCCGCTTGCTTTTACCAAGTTGAAGGAATAAGAAGTCAAACAGATGTTTTGTCAACACATCATTTCTGTGGTTCTGGCTTCAGGTGAACCACACATATTTCATACATGTATGTGGCCTGTTTCTCTAATCCCATGAAAAAGCCTATTTTGTAAGTAGGTAAGCTTCGATTGAAATCAAAGATTGTAGCGTGCCGAAGGCGCAAGATGAATAACTCTGCCCAAAAGGTGTAATTACCACGGGCGCCATTCGAGCAAGCGATACGCCTGTGCAGTTTACTATAACGCTTAGGCGCAGGCTCACCAGGTGCACGTGTCTGCCATCTTGCGTCGTGTAGCGGCGCTATACGATCTTTGATCGAAATACAGCACTCATCAAGAATGTAGTCAAGTCTTTCCTAACAAAGCCAAGAGTGCTCGTTTTTGAAGCCATTCATAAACACAAGCCAATTTCCAAAGTGATCCTATCACCCTCAGGTTTTGGGGGGAGGGTTGTTTGCTGTTTTGGGGATCACAATCGTACACAACATATGTTGTTCCATTTCAGGTATCGCCTTTGCCAGACAGTGTGGTATGCTTGGAAAGAATTTGTCCTGCTGGAGAAAATCAAATGCTCGAAAGAAGCTGTAGCAGTCGCACACGGTAAGTACGTGAACAACTGAAAAGCAGCTTGAGCCCACTCCACGCGATTTTACCGTCTGTCAGTGCCAACTGCTGAGGTACATTTTACAGTTGGAGAGAACGTTGCCACACGGTATGGGGCTTTCCAACTGTTGGCGGGAACATTTTCTTCCCTCATGGTCATGTCCAACTTCTTTGGCTACAGCTAGCCAAAGCATGCAAGTCTATGGGAAAATGCCTGCTGCGGCTAGCTGGAGTCTTCCATTGCTGGACATGTTATTGCTAGTCATAGTCGATTGTGACATGGCCTGTCTTGAGCTAGTAAAAACCATCGAAAACCTTTGGAAATGAAATCTGCCTGAATCGATACAGGAACCACGTTTCAACAAATGTACACACCCAACCTTTGCAAATCGATTTTCAGCCAACGGGAAGCTAGAGTCCCGCGTCTTGGACGCCTGGAAGGTCCACGTCGTCAGGCGCAGGGCCAAGGCTGCGCTCCGCTGCAAGGCCGACAGCCACGCGGCAGTTCGATACTTAGCATGGGCCTGGATGCAATGGGTGTCACAGAGACGAGAAGCCCTGGACAGACATGAGGCCGACGACTACGCCGTACAGCACTGGGCTCAGGTCCTTGTACATAAGGTAGATGCATGCCTTCTGGATTGGCTTTAGACAGAGCCAGAGAACCTAGCATTGTTTGGCCCGCTGTCATTCCCTGGCATACTCCCAGTACTGAGAGACGTAATGGGATAAAGTTTAATTATCATCCTTGTGTTTGGATAGAAGCTCATTTTTGAACACCGAAGTTTTGTAACTTCAGAATTGGAAAAAAAAATCAGTGCAATGAAGCAGCACCGCATGTTATGTTTAGATCTGTGTTCATGTTTTCTCGGGGAGGATGCAAACACAATTCTTCCTTCCGGCTCTCCCTTCAAAGCCTGTTTTTCCCCCTCGCTAGCGTCAGCAGAAAAAAAAAAGAAAAATTAATTTCTGAAACCAATTCTGGACCCCACAGATCACGAAACACCGTCATACAGCTTTTCCCCAGAACAGTTAAATTCCTCTTTTTTTTTCCACATTACAAGTTGAAGGATGCCGTTTGCAATCTCTCAGTTGTACTTCTTAAAGTTACCTGCATTTCATCAAACATTCGTGGCCAACCATTTGCCACGACCACGTTTCATTTGTTGTAATCATGCCTTAGATGTGGCAGAGATGGAGGGCAGCGACTCGTGACAGGCTGGAACAACATCTCAAGAACCAACAGGGCATCAACCTGCACGAGAGGAACTTGGTTGCTCGGTGCTTTGACCGTGGACTGGTACCGTACACGGCCCACCGCAGAAAACGCAGGCGAGAAAAGGGTATGTACTCTCTCAGCTTAATATACTACTTGAAGGTGGAGTTTGGCTATCCTCAGAAAAAAAGTGGACTTCAAAAGATCTACATGTGTCTGCTGCAGGATAAAGCTCAGCTTTGTTAGGTCTGACTTGGCCCTACAAGCCTGTACCTTGGTGTCATGCCTACGTACAGTGTGACACAACTATTAAAATAATGAGAACGCAGTTCTGTATCGATTATTTAGGACTTTTTCCAAGCGTGGTGGTTTAAGAGCCGTGCCAGGGTCCCAGGGTGAGATTGGAATCTTAAAACTTGGATTCAAAGCAAAGATGGTACCACCAACTGAGTATGACAAGGTCCAGCTGAGATCCATAGTTAACCAAAGCTGGACCAACTGATTCTGAAATAGGGAAATAGCTCATTGTTGGACTTGGCCGGTCAACTGTTCAACGGTCAACAGGTCAACTTTCAATCGTGCACACCACACACTTGAAGGACACGACACATGACGGATTGAGTGCGGTTTTAGCCATGACTGCGTCTTGCTCCTGTTTGAAACGTTTATTTCATTTCAACACCTACTCTCACAAGTTAGCCTGCCTCCAGATTCACCTTACTAACAAATAAAATCAAACTCTGATGCCTCAGTATTCCCGAATGGACATCTATCCAATATCTACCCACAGCCTACGCCTCCCAGCTGTACCGAGATTACCTCCTACGCAGTAGTTGGCAGCAGTGGTACGGCCGCTGGTACACCTTGAAGCTCATGTACGAACAGCGAGACATATTGAATGCCATGGCAGAGCGGAGCCGACTCAGGAAGCATTTTGTCAGATGGAGACACTGTATCCTTTCAACAGTTTACCAACTTTGCTACATTTTTGAGCACTTTGCTTTCTTTTTTATCTTGTGCTTGACCCAAAGTCCTTAATCACTTTGCTCAAAACCTTCCCCAATTCCTTGTGTTCGAAATCATTCACTGCTCCCAAATACTATGCCGCAACCTTTGTTCTGTAACTTTTCAAGAGGTGTCAAGCCTCATTTTGCCCTAATAATGACCCAGTTGAACCTTCCTCAACCCTTCAAAATCTATCAAAATCTCTGTAGTGGTGGAGTTTGTACGCTCTAGGAAGGTTAGTGTTAACAGATGGAAGAACTAAGGCACATGATCACAGTACACTCAACAAGGCATCAGTAACGGTGCACTCAATATGCCAGCTGTTGTTTAGACATGGCAAATCGGGAATTCTTTCAGTTTCCTTAATTCTACAAAGTCGTGACATTGCAGTCGGAGAAGCGACTGAAGATGAGACTAGCCCAGCAGCAGTACAGATGCCAACTCTTGGTAAGCTTTCCCAGACCAACAGTAAATGAATCAGTAACAATCATATTGAACTTGCCTCTCTTGTAAGTTCATTTCAGGCCATTCAAGCTACTGAAATCTGAAAATGGCATCTCAAATGGCATCAGCCTCTTCCTTTGTGACACTCAACACTGGCAGACCTCCAGAATAGTTCGTTAGACTGAAAACTTCAGTGTGATCAAATCTGATCAAGCACTTCTCTTGGAGTGAATAACTCATAAATTGTTATTTGAGTTGGTACCGTGGATGCATTTCTCTAATAGCTTCGTTTGGTTCTGTGACCGCATGGTACTTTATAACACAGTGACATGGCTTTTTAGATGGTGCTCTGTTCCTGTGCTCTGCTCAGATGCATGGCCCAAGCAGATTGCATATCACCTGCCACCGTGCAAAGCTTCAAGTTTCAATCAAATAGTTGAAATGAATCTCTTGCCGGTGTATTGTGTGACCCACACCCAACAAACTGAAGCGGAAGTCACCAGTGCCACTTTTGAGTTAGAGGCCATTGATTCGAATTCGGCACGATGTAAATCAACAGGAATCCCCAGCACTTGTCAACCACATACATGTATTGTCCATCTTCGTCAGGATACCAAACTGAGTGATTCTTAAAAACGAAGAGCTGTTGTCTCTCTTTCTGATCCACACTGGAGGAAAAAAGGACTTCAGTACTCATTTTGCAAGATCTGGACTTAACATTTATGGTAGCTGATCATTACATCATAATGATTGAGCATTACTTGCGTTCTGCAGAGATCATGCCTTGGTGCTCTCCAACTTGCCGTGGTGAGGCAACGGCTTCAGGAAAAGAGGAAGGCGAGAGGAGAGATGTTCAGGAACCATTCTGTAAGTCCGTAAACAGATTACTCAGCAGGCCTTGTATTAAAATAAAGGTGAAGAATTCAACCCCAAAAAGGTAGCATAGTTTGCTTTCAAGAACTGGGTTATGGTGACCTATTGAATTAGTCCAAACTCAGAAGGGAGATTCTATGCACGGCTTGAGTTGTTGCCTGGGTTAGTAATGTTGAATCTTCTGGTCAGAATTTATCCTGTAGCCTTAATTATAATGTATAATCCTCATCACAGAATTGCAAACCCACAAAAAAAGTAAACGAATCCTGTTATCACACAGACTCTGAGAAATGCGTTCATTACCCAGCAGTGATTACCCCCTGCTTTGGCCTAAATAGCACAGAAACTTTTCCAGTCGTCACCCATTCATTTCTCTGTCGGGTTACATACGTCACCTCATTTCTTTTTCACTCTTGATTCCAACTAGCTGTTGTTCCACGCCATGCGGAGATGGATCCAGAGGTGCGAGGAGAAAGAAGAGCTCAGCCTCTTCACACTGTCACGGCAGGCAAGGAGCCTGTTCAGGTGGGTTACTTCTGTGGTTACCCCTCCCTCTGTTGAAACGGACAGGCATCGCATGTTACAGATACGTACATACATACATGACTTGGTCATTTAAATATTTTAAAAATGATTCTGTCTAAAGTGTAAATCGAAACGTGAATATATTATGGCTCGTTTGCTTATTGAGGACGATTTGTTCATTGGTCCGAAGGTCAAGAATTCTGAACCAGATGATGAAGAGGTGGAAGGAATATACACTTTGGCGGCGAAGACGGCAGGTGTGTTCATTGTGAATCAAAAGGTTTTGTCGTCAATGTGCAGTTGGAGTCGACATCTTTTCTTACTCGCATTTTTGCTAAACACCTTCAGAAAATCTGGGAAATTGATGTTGGCCGAAGGCCAAGACGTTGGCTGTCACGGAATAAATACCTGTAAATAACAATTCAAAGTTTGGTGAAGGCCTCGTCTTGTCCCATTACCACAAGGGGGAAGGAAAGAGTTGTAGATGAGGGTGATGTGTTCTTTTGTCTTTAAATTGGGTATTTTTTCCCTTTGCAAATATTACCGGAATGTTAATGAATGGACCGTTTTTGCATATTTGGTGTTTGTTGAATGGTTAATTCTGTGATCTTACAGTGTAAAGACAGTCACATTAACACTTCGTCTGTGGGCTCTTGCTAGAAATTGTCATCTTCCTTTTTTCACGCTCCCCAGGCGCAGTACGCCATGGCAGAGGCCCACTACCTGTCACGCCTGCTGCCCAAATGCCTGCATAGCCTGAAGGTGTACACCCAGAGACAGCAGGACCAGCGGTGTGATGGGATGCAGGCTGTCAGCTTCCAGAGGTAAGCGCACCGATGCCTTGGTGGTTGGTTCACTGGGTCATTTTCTTTCTCTTACTATCACCCGATTTTTCGTTGTTCTGTACATACTGAGCCTCTTGTTTCCATGGCAAATGTCAATATGGACACCGTTCCTTGTAAAGATTAGAGTGTCCCCACTTTTTTGCGACTTCCTGTTTGAAAGCCGGTTTTGTATCACCATTGTGGAAACAAGTGTTACTTCTAACTGTGGTTTCCTTTTTGTTTTGTGCTCGGATTGTCTCACTGTGAATCAAAAGTAGTGTTTGTCCAGTCTCAGTCCTGAATCACACGGATCACCTCAAGATGCCTGTTGCAATTCACCAGGAGAAGCACTGTTCATTTTCGGACAGAGCTGAGCAAATTTGACCTTTTAAAAAACAAACTGGCTGATACAGAGAAACTCAAGCTATGTGGTATTTTGAAATTGATAATAGATGTGTTTTGTCTCACAGTCACCGAAACTCCATTTTAGGAGTCCTCTATCCTTTTTTATGATATTCAGACTTTGAATTTTTCCGCCATCTTGCATCGTACGAAAAAAAGTTTGCCCAATCTTTGACTTGAGATTGGAATACAGAGATAATAAGCTCAACAAGGATGATTTTATCCTTTGTATTTGACCAGAGAGTGTGTCCTGGGTTTTTACTTTGTCCGATGGTGGCACATGTATCAGACAAGCCAGAACCTAAAGACAATGCACCGATTGGTAAGTAAGGGAAGTCAAACGAAGACCAACCTTTGTGTGGCAACCCTAAGGTGGTTGTCGTCAAATTCAGCGACTGTCATTCTAAATAAAGAGCCAGCGAACCCAATGCAGGCAGAATTTGTTTTCAGAATTATTTTGTTTAAACTGGACAGAGGGTGGATTAGATTATTTTCTAGGGGGAGGGGTAAATGATTTTTAAAAAGGTTGCCTTTACTTGTCCCGTGTTGTGTTTGAAGGATATGCACTTTTTTTCCCCTGGCACAAGGCAGAGCTATTGATTTCTGATCAAATCACACACTGTTCAAACGAAAAGTTTTTAGTTGTTGCTATTCGTCTCCTATTCCTCCGACTAGAGATCTGGTGGAACTGACGTATGATTAATTTAGCTGTAACACTTGTAAAACGACGCACACAATGGAGTATCCTTGTGTTGTAGTTTTAGCACATATGTAGTGTTTCCTGTTAGGACATGACGGTGGTGATTTAGAGAAACGCAGACCCAAACAAGTCTAATTTCAGGTGCACCCCTGTGCATTTCATGCTGTACAGGCTGTGCTGCACCGCGAAGAGACCCTGGGAAAGAGGGCGCTGCGGAAGTGGAGACACCGGACGAGGCTCAAACAGCAGCTGGAAGAGAAAGAGGTATGAGCCGAATGCAGTCCACATCATCCTCAGAACGAGTCTGAGATTCTCAGACTGATGTTCCCTTGTTCTGCCTGCTTAAGCAGGCCTCCTAGGTGTGTTTCATCTTATTATATTCAGCTTGCGAAAGTGAGGGGAATGTGGCCCTCTGAAAATGTTTGTTCTTTCTCCATCAAGGAGATATTGTCAGAGATACTGCTTGAAGGCACCAAATTCGTTTCCTAAATTTCTAAAATTCAGATCCTCAAGAGTCAGTCATTCATTACGGAATCTGGTCCCATCGTGTTTGCCTGGTAAGGATTTTTAGATTTTCATATTTTTATTGTTTTCAGGCAATGGCATTGGAGCACTATGAGGGACGTCTTCGAGCCACGGCGTTGACAACATGGAAGGAGTTTGTTGCTGAGTGCCACCAAAGGTAGGTAACAGTCTGTGGATGACCACACCACCAGAACAGTAGCAACAAAAGAAAATTGTCCAAAAGACTTTGATGTACAGGTTTATGATCTGGCCAACTTCTTTCTTTTCTCATTAGGCATGAGCAAGAGCAAAAAGCATCCGATCACAGCAAGAAGAACCGAATGAGCAAAACCTGGAGAGCATGGTCTGAGGTGAATCCTGCTTTTTATGGAAGTTCCCAATTGGAAGTTTTCAGAATTTTCTTCCAAGCTTTTCAATCTCATTCGAAATTCAACAGTACAAACAGACAAATCCAATGAGGTGTTTACACCAGAAAGGCCAGTCATAACAATGGAAGGTGGGAACTACTGTTCAAAAATAAGTGGCCGATGATGTTTTTTTTTTTCAGAAGCTAGCAAGCATAGTGCTTCCACCATTTCGTAGGGTCCGTTCCCGAATGTACAGTAGTCTGGTATCCAGACTTGTCTTCAAGGAACGGTATTTGTGTAAATGGCCGTGTACTTTATCTTTGTATAGTACATGTTACATCGCCGCTTCAAGAAAGACAAGATGCGGAGAGCTACCAGCTATCACCGACGACATCTTCAGGACAGAGTACTCGCTTCATGGAAGGTCAGTTGAAGGATTTTCCCCTAAGAGGGGTTCGCATTGGATCAGTTTGAATTAAAAAGGTACCGTCCTTGCTCATCACTGTTGGAATCTGTCATTGTATGATACACAGAATCGCAACAGTTTTTGAAAATACTCCTGTCGCGAGCACCTGCAGCGTCAGCAGGGTAATGGAATTGCGAGGAACGCATTTGCATGTCCATGTGTCTATTTCTGCCTGCAGTTGTACCATCGGCGAGTCCAGACGATTGAGAGAGAAGCTGAAAGGAGGAAGCTGATCAAAGATCAGGAATGTTTGAGGTTGGTCCTGCAGATCTCCCTCGTTTTATTCAGGTTGAGTTTTGTGGATATTTCTCCCTTGCAACAATGTGCCTGTGCTCTCTGGTATCTTCAGACTCTTGGACATGATGCAGATTGGCGGATTTTGATCGTGTTTACCCCGAGCAAGACATTTTGATGCAATAGCACTTTGGAGCTAATTTAGAGCAAGGAAGCACCTGTCAGGGCAGCTCTGGACATTGTTGTGGTTGATCGCACAGCTGCAAAGTTTATTCAATGGTTTGTGACCAAAACAAATCAGAAACCATTATTGGCTTGCAAATCCGGGGCAAGAATGACTTTAATTGCACCTCGATTCTTTGACATGAACAGTTTGGAAGTATCACAGATTTTCTCATTTACTCACTCAGAGGGGCGGTGAAACAATGGCACTTCAATATTAAGGAGGAAGCAGGAGAAAGAAGCCTTGAAGACAAAGCTCACACGTTCTGGACGAAATCTGTCAAAGCTAAGGTGGAAGTCGTTATGTCCTTTTTCTGTTGTATTAAATTCTCTGGCAACATTTCCATTACTTTCTCAGCTCCAGATTTGTGCTTTTACAATACCAATAATCGTATTTCACGGATGCACTTGCTTGTGATTTCAGATATTCGCGTCGTGGTGTCAGTTTGCTATCTTGAAGGCCCACAAGAGAGCGACAAATGCTGAGGAATTGCGTAGGATTCAAGACCAACTCAATGCAGGTTGGTTGTTCCAAATTTCTCAATTTAAAAAACAAACAAAATTGGTCACATGCTTTTGGTCAGGTCCAAAGTGCGGAAGATTTTGTCGGTTTTTTAGAGCTGCAAGTCAAAGTTCCTTAAGAAATTCACTTTCTCAGCTTGAAGAACCAGGTACATTGAGCATGC